ATTTATTTTTCTATCTGGAATTGTCGAGATCTTGTTCTCATCCTGGTAAAGGATTGACTTTGTATATTCGAGTGACATATACTTGTTTTTTTCTGTTAAAGTTTCTATTTCAATAAGAATTGTGTTACTGATATATCCCTACTAATATTATAAATACGAAAGTAACTTTGTCTGTCTGTCTGTTACGCTTTCACGCCTAAACCACTGAACTGATTTTAATGAAATTTGGTACAGACATAGAGTTGACCATGAGAAAGAACATAGGATAGTTTTTATCCCAGACTTTTGAAAGGTTCTCTTGGAAACGCGATATAACCGAACTCCACTCGGGCGAAGCTGCGAGCGGAAAGCTAGTATTTTATATACCACAACTGTAGTAATAAACATGTTTTAAACTACTTAAAAATATTTGTTTCCTTGATGTAATTGTTCTAGAATCTAGAATATGTAAGCCCTCACATTCTTTTACCATCTTAAGACTTTTCTCGAGATATTTCTTATAATGGCTTGAGAAAAATATGTCACAGTAACACATTATATTTTATAGATACTTTGTTTTGTCAATACTTTTAAATAATGTACGTGACATTCAATTGAATATTTAGTTACTTCTCAGACGTACAAGTGTCTTAAGAGGTTGCAATTTATGGAGGTCGCTATATTATATTGAGGTTTTTTGCGAGTTATTCCTCCACTTTCATATTAACGTGTGAACGTGAGACTTTTTAATAATTCACTATTTAATAGTATAGAGTGATTATTTTATGGAACTTTTCAATTAAATTGAAATCTTTAATATATTTTTGTTTCATATGTCTTTATTTAGTCTGTGCTTGTCATACATATATTTGTATAGTCTGTATCTGTAGGAATTCCTTATTAATTGTCTATGGTCGTGTTTTGCTCTCTAACGCGTGTGTTAGTGATTTTCTTGAATCAATCAACCATAACGATGAGTCTCATGTGTGGAGGCAACTAATAATTAAATTGAATGCAAAGTATATATGTATCATTACTTTGTAGTTTTCGCAATTAAGAATTTAGTAAAAAAAGAAAGCCATGTTAAACCAGAATTTATTGCCTCACTGCTGCTTGAAATACTTTATAAACACATAAGTAAATAAGTTTTTATATAGGTATACTTATCTTTCCATAACTACGAATTACATAGAGTATTTCGGTAATAATTAAAGTAGAATTATAATAACAAATGTCCTTAAAATAATGTACATTCTCAAAACTAATATCTATACTACAGGAACAAAGTAATGTTAAGATAACAAAGGGAAAACCTCGTACTAATGACGAACTCTACACCGGTAGTAATTAAAAATTACTTATGATAAGAATAGTTCTCGAAAATAAGTGATAGTATAAAGAGGAAGCTTAACTTATTCATTAATATGTATAGTTTGTATTTACGACTATGAAATATTGGTCGGGTTTGTATTAATAGTAATTATGTAAAAAATAATTCAAAGTCATCTAAGCCTTTGGGGAGCATTCATTTAAATGAAACTAAATATTTCGGATTACTCGCTTATGTACCTATATTATTATTTCAAAAAACTCCACACTCTCGATTTTTCGGTTACTTTCAGCAACCGTGATCACGGGCAGACGAGATGTGAATTTCACATGCCAATTTTACATTCACATTTAAATCCAAAAAAATAAAGTTTAATTTAAATAATTAAAAATAATCATAAATGATGATATTCATGAATATTACATAGTACAGCGTCATATACATTTAATCAGAAGTCACAAAATGAAAAGCATGAGAATCTTTAATAAATATCCTTAGTCCGCACTCATGTTAAATTAATACCAACAGTTGGAACGTTTTTTATACTGTGATATATTTACAAAGAAACTTCTAAAGTCTGTATTGTAACTCATATTAAGGACCTTTTTATAGGTTATTTATTTTGATTAGTAATTTTTGTTAAGTCTTATAATATATTTAACAGGAAATATTTAGGAATATTACATTGTATACATAAAATAGATTCTACTAAACATAACAGTATACATATGATAATATCTTTTAAATCCTTACATAAGTCACATTACATAGTAATGCATTATATTTTACATATCATTGAATAACAGTATGTGGGAAAGGCTGAAAACAAGTAACACATACTCAAAACAAAGTGGAAGGAATTGAATTCATTTAGCAGGTTCAATACGAGGCACGCACAATGTACGTATTAAGTTTCAAAAGTCTTTTGTTTTAGGATTGCTATGGCTATTGTTGGTACACCCACTTACAACACGTGAAGTTAGAACAATGGAGACTAAGAATCGCGGGAAAAATGCACACGCATTAAAGATGTTGCATTTCGACAAGTTTAAATTTAGTATGGATTACAGTTACTTACGAAACAAGGACTATTTATGTTATATAAATTTACGAATCGTTTATTTGTTTTTGAATGAAGACGCTTTACGACAAAATGGCGTCAATAACTGAAGTATAACAAAAGTTTACTTTTACGAAATTAAATTACTTAAAAGAATTACGTCAATATAATATTCTCATGAAAATATTACTTATAAACTTTTTATGACTCATAAAATGTTTAATAGATTACACATTAATAACTTGCGAAAAGTTTTGCTCATGATGGAAATAGAACAAAAAGCGTCTTATCGCTGGCACCTTGAGAATTCATAATATACAGTCATTGTAGTACATACCATATAACGGGTGACATTCAATAAACGCTACTCGGAGACACGGGAATGCGTTTCCTTTATCATTAACGATTCGCATTGGACTAATATAGTTTTCAAGAACGCCATTAGTATTATCGTCATCGCATTGGACTCACTATCACAAACTGAACAATAATTTGAACTTAATGACAAAATAACGCGGCTTGTTGACATACATTTACTGGTCTTCCCACGATTATATAAAACAATCCGAAGTTTTTTTTTTCTTTTTGTGTATATGGCAATCTTTCTGTGGTGCCAGTGTCAACTTTTTTAAATGTTAGTGTAGGATATTAAAAAAAAAAAAACATTTCACCAGCCAGTAACAAATGCATATCATGTTACTAGAACCCGCATCCTCCTCTTTAAATAAACTTCACCATTTCATCCCTCTTGAGATCAAGAGGCTGTTCAGACAGTGGATATGACAAAAAAACGTAGATAAGTTTAAACATTTAAATAAATACTACGAAATTAATATAATAGTCTAAAAATTTTGTCAACCGACGACCATGTCAAGGATGAAAAATGCTTGTGTCGAAATAAAAAACTAGGTCATAATATTGTAATACTAGCTGAAAATATAACACTAAGAAAAATTTAAAACCCATTAAATCATATCAGGCACGTGTTATATTATACATTGTACAAGCATGTGTTTACCAATTACTGTGCAAACATTTGCGACACAGCCGATATTTTCGTGTTTTTGATAGTCAGTTACACCCATTAGCATTGCCTAAAACAACAGTAACCCTTTAAATGTACAATGTAAAGTTACTATGTAGATTTTAAGTTATTAATTGTTAACCAATTATGAGGTAATATAACCGCGAAATAAACTAGCACAGTTGACTTAAAGATTAATTAAACTGTATAAGTTGAAATATAAGTGTTAATAAAAGCATTGTATCCTAATAATTAACAATAAACTTTAAGTTAACAAGTATAAAACTATTTTGATGATGTTACGTTAAATATCAGCTGTAATACAAAACAAACGAACATTTGTCAATGTCAATTGCAAGCTGACATTTCATTCCATCCCAAGGCAGTGGGAAAACCGGCTAGACAGGGAACGATTCAACAGGTAGGGTAGTGTAGGGCACTGACCTACAGTTGGCTGTTCACGGTATGAATGGTATCATTCAAAAAGATTAACTTTAAAATACTATATATAAAACCTCATTAATGTAGTCATAACAATTATAAACAACGTAACGTTATTTCATTTTAAGTATAAAACTAACAGTAAACTTCAATAGCTAAGTAGCTTTAACTTCAAAACTTTAGTAAGTAGGTAATTCAAGCGAAATGCCACTCACCTTCTTCTCGCAACTATACGCGAAACGTTTCGTTTCGAGCTAGTTGCGATAGTGCCGTGTCCTTATGAACTTAACAAAGGTCTACTTTCACCTGTGAGCCAGCTCGGGGAATCAATTTAACCATATACGGCCCTAGCGTTCAGCACAACTTATTATGAACTTTTTTTTTCTTTAATGAAACAGTAACGTCCGTCTGAACGGTAAATCGAGATTGCAATAAAAAATAAACCACTTCACAGACACTAAACGCACACGTTCACCGCACTGTTCAGTTTGTTAGACTAAATTTAGTTTTTTACTATGGGCCACAAGTTTTAAGTTTAAAAACTTTTCGGATGTCGAAGGGAGGACGCTACCACACGTCGTTTGACGAAGACGCCGTCGCGAGAATGGTTGGCCGTACGAAGCTCGCTCGTCCACCATCGGCTCACTCCGGCGTGAGCGATAAGAACAAAATGATACTCAACAGAGAAACGGAGCGTGTCAGAAGAGTACATACATTATATTCGTAAGTTAGAAAGAGACAGCAACATTTGACCGTTTTCCAATCACTAGCCACCCTTCGAATACTGAATCGTAAAATTAAAACTTTGAAATAAAAACACCTGCATATAGTCTTAAATAATTTTATTATCGGTTTCTATTTACACGTGTATGGAATTTCAGTATAACAATGTGATTAATAAATATTGTTAAAAAATGTACATACTGAAAAAAAAGGTGGAAGTAACATTTAAGTTATAAAAAAACAATTAAAACATTTTCATACATAAAACATTACAAGATAAAAAAATTCATACAAATTTGGAAGAAACATACAAAAGATTATTTATAATTAATCAGATTCAATTCGATTATCATTTAAAAAAGTTCTAGTGACTCAAACATTTACAATATAATAACAATCTTATATACATATATCATAAAAGTCATAATAAAATGCAACAAATGTCATTGATTTAAGTCCACCGGGATGAGATCAGGTGTCGTTAACAAGAGATTCTTCTTCATATACTTGGGCGAAGAGTCTTCATGCCTCTTAACATCTGGTTTCTTAACTAGCAATGTCTTAGCGGTAAGAACTAAAGTATTAATAAAACTAATGATGACATAAATACCACCAATTATAGAGAATAGACGTAACATAAATTGTAATAAATTTTCCCTTTCCTGGTAGACCTGAATCTTTAATGCCGCCATATCATATTTGAAGAACACTCCTGGAACGCCATGCGAGCCTTTGCTATGGCTGATTGGTCTTGCCAGCTCTTTGACAGAGTACTGGAAGGTCTTGATAGATTCAAATGTAGTGTCGACATCAGTCGGCACAACTTCTAAAAAATACTGATATAACATGCTCTCATCTGAAGTAATTTTTTCATCTCCTTCCAATGGATATATAATGCCATTAGCAGGACTGCCAAAGCTCAGTCTGTTTATTCTGTGGCTAAAGTTCTGTGGGGTGTCATCGAAGAGCATATTTAAGTGTATGTGCCCTCTCGGTAAATGTAAACTTTTCCCCGCTGTTATATGGAAATTTCCAGCAACCTTGTTCAATGTGAGCACTCCATGTAACCTACAGGCGTCTGGTCTTCGATTAGGTTTAGTTTTCCGAGGCGGAACAGTTGCTCTGACAGAGCCATGCCCCTTTTTCCATAGTAACTGCCACACAGAATGATATTCCTCTCTCAAATATGAGTTCATATATTTCACTGCTTCAAAGGCGTTCTTTTGCTCTGGTGTAAGTTCCCACCAGGTATCTTCTTCCTGCAATTCGCCGAAGCCAAAGACACTTTGTGAAGTAGAGTCTAAAATATCAGCCCCAATATTGGAGCAAGGCATTGCAATGGTTATATCTATATTTATTCTTAACTTTTCATCCATATCTGTGTCTGGCATGAACCGGAAAGCCAGATTGCTGTCTAGAAAGTATGAAACTTCACTGTAAACGAGCCACATGATAATAAAAAACGTTATTATTGAAAATGTTCCTCCTACCGGCGTACTGTCCACGTACTCATCAGGAACTTTGGAAAAAGCATCTAACTCTTTCACTTTGTCTATTACCTTCTTCTTGCCTCGATATCTAATCATCTTTTATTCAAAAACAAAACTTAAAGCCCAAATAAAAATCACAACAATATTATAAAGTGTTGACGTGTTTTTGACTCAAGCTTCAAGAACAGTAACATTTATGACATCTGTCAACTTAAAGAGAGTAGTGTAAATGAAATAATGAAAATATTTAATATTTAAAACAGGAAGAAATACAATAAAGTGTTACTTTATATCATGCTACTATAACTAAGATTATTTGACAATTAATGAAAAGATTTTTATTACCTTTTTTAATTAAAGTTTTCATTTCAACTACGTTTAATATAATCGTCAAATATGTCATCTCAAATGTTGACATTGACGTGCGTCAGTTTTGATTGTCAGTGAATTGACGTGCTATCAGTGAAAATTGTCCTCTTGGAATAACGAAGTTTTCTATTTTTAACTACATTTAGCGAACACAATATTTATGCAGGCTGACGGCGAGGAAAATTTGTTGCATTCATGCTTCGGCTCACTGAAGAGCGCAGTAATGGGTTGCTGCTACAGTATATGTCAAAAAGAATCGGATCCTCAGGTATAGAATTTCGATTATTTCCACGTATTCATAGAATTATTTATTTTAATGAGTTGTTATTGAGTATTATTCAGTAACGTATTAGCATATCCAATGTAGTCGAATGTAAACACCAGTGCAATGTGAGTGTGGTTAAAGACAAAAGATCGTTGTATTTGTGAACCATAACAATGAATGATGATATTATTATCGCAAATTTTCAATAAATTTTGCTCTTTTATCACAATTCTTGAACCTGGAAATGTGTATTATCGTGGTTTACGTTTATAATGACCTATTGTAGTGTTGAACATATTTTTATCATGCTCAATGGTAATTAATATTATATTTTATATTGATTGTGCAATTTTTATGAGTTGTATATCATGCATATGACATCTTATTTGTCACAGTTTTATTTATAAGAGGAAAAGGTTTTAGTTATATGTTCATACTAAAGTGTAGTATAAATTATATGATATAATTAATGTATAGTGATATGGGGAATACTGATATTACGATTATGCTAACATATATTGTTTAACATCCAAAATATAAAGACAATAGTGTTATAATTTTGATATCAATGTCAATGTTGATGTTAGAGACAAAATAGTTCAACTAATTTTAATGTAGTTTGTTCATTTTGAAAGTCAGATTCTTTACGATAATGCTTAACTATGTTTAATGAATATCAATAGTAGAGAAAGATGTAAGATGATAATTCTGTTTTTTACATTTTATTACTTAATAAGGTTTTTGTTTAAGGTATAATTACTATTATGTTAGCAATAAAACAAATGTCACTTTAAATTTTTATGTGTTGAATTTAAATGAAACAATGGGTGTCAATCATTATGTTATTGCCATTTGTTATATTTGCAATTATTATAATTATAAATATATACAGGGTGACTGGTGAATTATTATCAATATTTAAGGAGAATCCTCGGTACATGATTCTCATTCGAATTATGTAAAAAAAATATGTACTTAATTTTTGACCAAATTTCCGTATAAATAAATAAAGCATGGACACGTTCCAAGTGTTCCAAGTGTGGACGCGTGTGGCGGCGTACTGATACAACACTACGCCGCCACACGTGTGTGTGTGCTTGTGTGTATACCCAATCTGTAGGGTGTTCACACGATGCGTAATTAATTACATAACTTTTGGTTAACTTTACTTAGAAGTTTATTAATATTGATGTTATATTAATTTTTATTTTGTCATATATGATCGTCAAATATCACGTCCTCAAGTATCGATAGTAATTCACCAGTCATCCTGTATATATATCAATAATTGAAGAGAAGTTACCTAGATATTTGCTATTGCTCCAATAAACTATTACCTTAAACATCTTTTTAGTTATAAGAACTGGTTTCAATACCATGTCAAGGAATATAGTTTGAATAAAAAAGAACTTGTACATTTTCTTACAGTAAACATTTCTAATACAAACATAGCATGTAGCATTTCTTTTATTTAATATTCACAACGAGGATTTTTTGATTAGTGTGCCAATAATTTCTTTCACTCATTCATAATTTATTTAGGTATTTAATATAAAACCTCTAGGTATTTTTTTATTAAAAAGTTATATATTTTTTAGTTGTATTTGTCTTTGAATAATATTTGTACAATAATGTCATAGCTAATGTATAGTATAACATTACTAATTCAATGCAATCAAATAATGTTGGTTGTAATAAATAATTCTAATATAACAATTGTGCCTTATCATGTTTAATTAATGATTCACTTCATTATGTTTTTAACCTTAAAACTATGTTTACATAATATTTATATTATAGAACATAGCATGAAAAGCAACTGAAATCTAATACCCCAATCATTGCATTGTGGAGTCCTGTTTATGTAGATGAATTATTCATTGTATTTTAACTAATTTTAATTAGACTATTCACTCGACTCTGCTCGCTTATAACTTGGCTTGGCTTAACTATATTTATATAACAATTTTTACTCGTTAATTACAGTATAAGCTATGCTACTGCTTTTGTATCACTGAATACTAGTTATATGTTTGATATGTGTTATTAATTGGTTATGCTTGTTCGGTATTGTTAAAATAATATCATGTCAAGTGTAATGTAGGTAATTACTTTATTATATTAATTGGTGTCATATAATTTTGCTACTAAGCGCAATACATGTCTTTGCAAGGATGAAGGCCATATTTTAAACAACCAACCAACAAGCATAATACATACATGACAAATTTAATATAGTTTTATTGTATACTAGCTGCGCCCCGCGATGTTACCCACGTTTCCAGGATGTAAAGTAGCCTATGTGTTATTCCTGGACGTCAGCTTCCTATATACAAAATTTTATCAAAATCCGTTCAGCCGTTTGAGCGTGAAGCAGTAACAAACATACATACACACTCACAAATTTTCGCAATTATAATATTAGTAGGACTACAATAATATGTTGTATGTCATTTTCAGGAGAGTACAGTGAATGAACGGACCCACTTGTTGGAAGTATCGGAGCAGCAGCATGAGACTCCCTCGCCGACCGCCTGTGAGGCGACTCCGCCCCGCAAGCCCGACGAACAGAGCGCCCTTAACAGAATACTACATGAGACAGCCACGTAAGATAGATATAGATATACAGACATACAAGTACTCGGAGATAGTTCATTATATATTATCTATAGCTCTCCGCCCGCAGCTTCGCCCACGTGGAGTTCGGTTATATCGCGTTTCCAACAGAACCTTTCAAAAGTCTGGGATAAAAACTATCCTATGTTTTTTTCTAGGTCAACTCTATGTCTGTACCAAATTTCATTAAAATCAGTTCAATAGTTTAGTCGTGAAAGATTAAGAGACAAACAAAGTTACTTTCGCATTTATAATATTTGTAGGGATATCTCTTTTGAAAAAGTTACTTGGAAAATGTTCTAAATGGTACATGCTCAATTCCTGATAGTTTTGTTTAGTCGTTAATATTCTTAACTATTCTTTAAGTTAATTTTCCTTAAAGGTTTCGCCAATGTCAAATCAGATCTCAAGATACATATTTCTAATAATATCTATAATCAAACGTGATTTTATTTTTGTTTCAATGCATTAAAACTGTTATCAACATTGAGACTATAAAACCTCATTTTATATCTAAAAATAATTATACATTTTTTTTCTATTTATAAACCAGTTTGGTATCTTAAGGTGATCTCAAGGTAAACTTGGGAGTCTATTTATTATTACAAATGAATTTTATGTTCTTATATTTGTTACCAAAACACTGTATCTATACACAATTGACTAAGCCTCTTTCATCTAGATGAATACATGTAGATCTTCATAGAATTCCATTTATTATGTCTTATCAATAGTAATTCCTTCCTAGTAATGTGATCGACGTGGGCGCACTTGGTCCATACTCGTTGGAGGCTGGTGCGTACAGTGAGAGAGTTCGTGCATACACCGCCCGAGCCGCAGCCGCAGCCCTAGCGCCGGCCGCGCCCGCAGTCCTATTGGCAGACCAGCCACCGGCTGCAAGACGGAAATTACTGGCAGCTCCGCCACTGACCATCTCAGATAGAGACCTGGTAGGTCATATATATATATATATATATATATATATATATATATAGGGAATGTTTCAACAGTGCCGGCGTTTGGGGGGGGGGCGATTATGGGGCGAAGATGGTAGATGGAATATAGAATTCTTAATACACGTTCAGTGTTCACATTGGTTCAGAAAAAAATTAATCCTCGGTTTTGATTTCTTCAAGTGGGCGCCAAAATATTCTTGCCCAGGGTGTCAGTACCTCCAACGCCGGCACCGTGTATCAAGTAGTAGTCATAGAACTGGGATAGTTAACTGGTAGCTTGTAAGAAGGATAGTACTATCTTAGGTCGGCTTAAAATTAATTTTGTTTAAAAGTCTGTTTGTATAAGGTTAGAAATGTAATGAACTGGGGAAAAAAACATGAATATTTTAATAATGCTTAAAGTGCTCTATCTATAAATCTTGTATATTGGATAATTTATTATTCTCAGCTCTCACATGTCTTTAATAAGGAAAAATTTGGAATTCTTGTGTATAAAGCCCAAGAAAAGCCATATTTTAGGTATTTCATTGAAATATTGTTTACAAGTTCTGTGACAATAAAACATAATCCAGTAATTTATATGTTTAGAATATTAAATATGATAATCTATATATATATAAAAGAAAGTCGTGTTAGTGACTCCACTTATTACCCAAGAACGGCTGAACCGATTTAGTTGAAAATTGGCAGGGAGGTAGTTTAGAGCCAGGAAATTGCAATAGGATACTTTTTATCCCGTTCGACAGCATTCCCGTGGGACTTGACATGAAACGTCAATCATTATAAAACGTGGATTGAAAAACACAATTGACAGCTATACAATTAACGTATAATGACAGATATGTAATGACGTATGGATGACAATTAGATATTTGTAAGAAATCTACTTTATAAAAATAAAAAATATTTAGGTATTGTGTTTGTAGTTTGAACTCTTAAAACCATTTAGTATTTGCGGGATAAATTTAGAAAATCATTGTTTTTCATATGGGCAGTTATATTTTGCGTGTTCACGAGTTTGGAAACCATACGCTTTATTTGTGTTAAAGTTAGACCAAAAAACAAAAAAAGTGGTTTACAAAGGAGCACTTCAATGAAACGAATAATTTGCGGACACGTATAACGCTTCGATTCGGTATCTACTTTGGATTCACTTTCATTTACTTAGAGAGGTTCAACTAAATAACACTTCATTTTTGTAATCGAAATGAATTCGTTACTGTTGTGAAATTAAATAAAAATTTTCCTTTTCAAATATAAAACAAAAAATTCTTCATCTTTTAATCACCAAACGAAATGTTATATAAAAGCCTTCTGGTGGCGAAACGGAGTTCGCCAGGTTTACTAGTATATATATATATTTACGCCTATGATATTTTTCTACTTATTCAAAAAAGGTACAACAAAAATTTACAAACGCCAAAAGCATTACCTTCAAAACATCTGTTCATTTGATTAAAGTACATAGAAAAGCAAATTCTTGACCAATTTCATATAAATAAATAATAAATATTAATTTTGTAATATGTATATGTATATATACAGGGTGACTGGTGAATTACTATCAATATTTTAGGAGAATACTCGGTACATGATTCTCATTCGAATTATGTAAAAAAAATAGGTACTTAATTTTTGACCAAATTTCCGTATAAATAAATAAAGTGTGGACACAATGATGATATCTAAGATTGCCCGTGATCACGGTTGCTGAAAAGTAGCCGAAACGTCGGGAGTATGTAGTTTTCCAAAATAAAACGCGAAGTAAAATCCGAAAAATATTAGTTTCATTTAAAAGCGTGGACACGTTCCAAGTGTTTACGCGTGCGGCGGCGTGCTGATACAATACCACGCCGCCGCGCGCGAGTGTGTGTGTGTATACCTAATCTGTAGGGTGTTCACACGATGCGTAATTAATGACATAACTTTTGGTTAACTTTACTTAGAAGTTTATTAATATTTATGTTATATTAATTTTTATTTTGTCATATATGATCGTCAAATATCACGTCCTCAAGTATCGATAGTAATTCACCAGTCACCCTGTATATTATGGCTTCATTTAACCAACATTTTTTCTTAATAATCAAATGTCACGCGTAGTTGTTGCATCCACAAAGGTCAGCCAGTAAATACATTTTTTATCCAAAGAGTTTCTATATTCTTAGTACATATATTCTTGTACAAGTTTTTCTCGTTCGTGTTAAAGAAATTTATATGAGAATCGTGTTATATTTTTGTACCTACATATGTTTGTTTTTAGATAGAAGCGAGTTGGACGATCAGTTGGACGATCAGTTGGACGATCAGTTGGACGATCAGTTGGTCGACCAGTTGGACGATCTGTTGGTCGACCAGTTGGACGATCAGTTGGTCGACCAGTTGGACGATCAGTTGGACGATCAGTTTGACGATCAGTTGGTCGATTAGTTGGTCGATCAGTTGGACGATCAGTTGGTCGATCAGTTGGACGATCAGTTGGTCGATCAGTTGGTCGATCAGTTTGACGATCAGTTGGTCGATCAGTTGGTCGATCAGTAGGTCGATAAGTTGGTCGACCAGTTGAACGATCAGTTGGTCGACCAGTTGGACGATCAGTTGGTCGACCAGTTGGACGATCAGTTGGTCGATCAGTTGGACGATCAGTTGGTCGACCAGTTGGACGATCAGTAGGTCGATCAGTTGGTCGATCAGTTGGACGATCAGTTGGTCGACCAGTTGGACGATCAGTTGGTCGATCAGTTGGTCGACCAGTTGGACGATCAGTTGGTCGACCAGTTGGACGAACAGTTGGTCGATCAGTTGGTCGACCAGTTGGACGATCAGTTGGTCGACCAGTTGGACGATCAGTTGGTCGATCAGTTGGACGACCAGTTGGACGATCAGTTGGACGATCAGTTGCCCAACCAGTTGCCCGACTAGTCTTTATATATAAAAGAAAGTCGTGTTAGTGACTCCACTTATAACTCAAGAATGGCTGAACCGATTTAGCTGAAAATTGGCAGGGAGGTAGTTTAGAGCCAGGAAATTGCAATAGGATACTTTTTATCCCGTTCGACAGCATTCCCGTGGGACTTGACATGAAACGTCAGTCACTATAAAACGTGGAATAACGAAACACAATTGACAGCAATACAATTGACGTATAATGACAGATATGTAATGACGTAATGATGACAATTAGATATTTGTAAGAGATCTACTATATAAAAATAAGTCCGGTTTTCCATCCTGACGCTATAACTTCAGAACGAACGAACCAAGAAAAGGGGGAAAATCTTTTGTCACATACAGCGCCATCATACATAACATGTACTACATACAAATCAATATTTTAAGTAGATGGTGCCGTCGCATGATACATTGTTTGACAGCTACTCATTGTTTTCTTCTCAGTTAATTTCATGTGACAAACCGGTATTGTGTTTGTAGTTTGAACTCTTAAAACCATTTAGTATTTGCGGGATGAATTTAGAAAATCATTGTTTTTCACATTGGTAGTTATATTTTGCATGTTCACGAGTTTGGAAACCATACGCTTTGTTTGTGTTAAAGTTAGACCAAAAAACAAAAAATGTGGTTTACAAAGGAGCACTTCAATGAAACGAATAATTTGCGGACACGTATAACGCTTCGATTCGGTATCTACTTTGGATTCACATTCATTCACTTTTCAAATATAAAACAAAAAAATTCTTCATCTTTTAATCACCAAACGAAATGTTATATAAAAAACTTCTGGTGGCGAAACGGAGTGTGCCGGGTTTACTAGTATATGTATATAAGACATCAATCTGTACAACACCCAGTAATTAAGCTATATTTGCAGATCCATTAATATTTAATTTCTTACTTTTAGTTTGTTTTATCAGCTTACACTTAGGCGACAAATTAATATGTAGTTACAATAATAACTTTTAATATATTATCGTTTACAGATAACAAATGCTGTTAAGAAAGCTGCCGCCGCTATATCTGAGTTGAGGGTGGAACATCACGAGGATTTGGTGGTTCCGTTCAGGGTCCCATAGCATAGGTCTATATCAGAGTGTTCCCATTAAATGAACTTGATTTTTGAACTATGGGAACTTGTATATAGTGATTCGTTCTTGACAACGCCATCTATGTTGTGGTTTAAGCGTTAAGTGTCGCTTCAAACGGTATTTGTTTAATATATTGTTTAACAATTCATTGAGGATATCTGATAATTAATATATTTAAATATGTATGTTGTATATGTACAAGGTTGGCGATTGTAATTTTTGCATCATCAGTTTATATGTAAAAATTATCAATATGTATAAGACCTTTATATTTATTTGAAATAACATGAAACAAGAGGCCATTGTAATGTAATGGTTTAAATATTCAAATATTTCTTGACCTAAAGTGAGAATCTATAATTTTTTATATTGATTTCGTAAATTCAAAAATTTCGTATGTTCATCGTTTTAATTTCATTATGTTCTAAATAATATTCTATCGCTCGTGTTTAATATAAATGTATATATATTCCTATAATTTGAATCGCAACAACTTCCTTAAAGGAACTTATTGCGATCTATAACCGAAGGTAAAAATAATAATTGAGCATGCACTATATTCTAGTAAAAAACATAATTAAGTTAAAAATTACTTAGAATAATTTAAAAAATGATTTTGCATGGCATATACTGTAATATCAATTAAGTTTTAATAAAATCATTAAGCCATCATTATAAATAACAATGCAAATCTGACTTAAACAGTATTACAAGACAAATATATACATAACAGACTATATAAATTCTTATTCCTTCTTAATCTATAATTTTCACAATTCTATTAATTGTCACTTTGACATTTGACAGTTTATTTTTCGTCTCGCTCTACTTACATTTAAACTAGCTATGTGTGAGTGCGATAGAATGAATATGTATTCCCGGGCTTTATAATTTTCTATTCACAGAATGACAGCTAAATTAATTAATATTTGGACGAGACATTTTGAATACAAACACAGATTATCATAATTTTCATATATAAATATAATCGCATATATCTTTAAATTTTCATATTATTATTTTACCAAGTTTTGCTATAAGTGCCAAGTTAATTGTTGACATGGCGCCAAAATAACAGAACGACTAATATTATAACACCACATATTAATGATCGTAGCTCTTAAGATGGTATTAGTTGTTATATTAATGTTTATAAAAATATATTTAGCAATATGTGTTAAGAATGTAAAAGTTTTTTTTTTGTGGAATTCAATTATTTTTTATGTGAATTGTATAAAATGTTGATTATGCCATTATTAAAGTACCTATTAAAATGAAATTTGTATTATTTTCCCTTATCTAATCCGTTGTTGACTTCGATATCATAGTTCTTAAATATTCTCTTACGTAAGAGTCGCTAAATATTGGACTTCTAAATTTCAACTACCTAAAAAGTTTTACATATTGGTCTTGAATGGCGACATCTGTTATCAATAGTATGAACTAAAATAAATATATGTTTAAAAGTATTTGCAAGCCCCCAATGAAGTTACTGATGGTAGCGCCATCTATGATCTATAGTCGCCTCACATTATGTGCAATTATGTATTAAAAATTATTATAATATTTTATAGCAACTTGTTTTGTTTACTGATTTTTTGATCTCGGAAGTCTGTAAAAATAAAGAGACGATGGTTTTGTTTGATTACATTAATTGTAATGAAAAATCTTACTATTAAATTAGTTGTAGGTACATAGTTAGCGTTTGATAGTAAGTAAAACATTAAATAGTGAAAATAAAGTTTATAATATTAATGACCAAAGAAAATCAAAGCGTATTTGTTAATTTTGTACTATTATAAAGTAATTTTTTTGTTGTCATTTATTAATTAAGAATATTTCAACAAACGAAACATCACAAGCACGTCATCTATAATAATTGTTTTAATTTACCATATATTATGTTAACTCTTTGCTTATTAACTTTTAATTTCTATATTTTTTCTAGTATAATCTATATGACAAAAATGACTGAATAAAAATTTACGTTTCAAACAGTTTTATCGCAATTATTATTTATACATAAACGCTTTTTGTTAATATATAAATAGAAAAAGACAGAATGTCTGTTTTCGATGGAGAAATCGAATATAGATCAATGTACATGGTGGATTTCGTTAAAAAAGATAAACCGTAAGTTAGCAATAGCAATTATATTTCATTTAAATAATAATTGTTATTATGATAAAAGATGTCATCAAATTTTATTAAAGAATTTTGAATTAATTTTTCAAGAAATTAAGGCGATCTAATTCTCATTCTATATCTAACACATAATATTAAAGACTATAATAGAATGCATATAGAAATAAAATCAGTTTATTTTGTAAGGACCTTGTTTTTATAAATGCTTATATGTATTTATATAGAAAGAGTCCTCGTCGGAAAGCGATAGACGATGACTGCCTGATTGTTGGAATCAGTCGGGATTCCTTAAAGGCTAGAGATCAGCCGCGAAAGTGTCCCGACGTACTCTGTCCCATAGACTTCGAGTACTACAAGAAGGCTGTTGAAAGAGTAAAGTTTCAGTTTATATATATAAGATGTGATCCGAAATAAATAATATCTATTTGACTAGACTATAATAAGACTTGCAGTTCGCAGACGACCATCCGAAGCTGACGCAAAAGTATATGATCAAAGATGTGGATCCGATACCAATCGATCACGAGATACAGGATCTAAAGAGAACTGAATATCTTACTAAATACTGTTCCAGAGGTAATTTAATCTAAATTAATCAGCTTTTTTGTAAATACTTCATTATTAAAGATAGCCAAACGGTTCTACTTTATATTGATCCATGCTTCTTTCCAGAATTACCATTTATGTCTGTTAATCTAACACGTCGAGCTCGGGCCCTTCAGACCCTGCGACTCCCGGACGACATATACATCCCTGACACGAGTCAGAAGGGGTCCTATCGACATCCGAAGCCAGAGAAATATGCTGATCCTCCCTCTTCCTTATCTATGAAACCTAAATTTGATCCATCTTTACAGAGTGAGATATTTGATACCACTGATTTTGTTGCAATATTCTATTAAATTGCTATTTGCCAATGTAGACTCTATTTATATGGGAATTAGAGCTATTAATGCTTGTTTGTTTCAGAGGAATTGCGTAGAATTCTCCGTGTTAGGACAGGAGACACTAGCTACGGTGTCGCTCACGGGCTGCTGGCTCAGGTTGTACTTGAACGTAACCCATTCGGACCGGCTCGCGAAGAACCGAAATATGGAAGATGGAAGAACCCTTACGGATATACTTATAGAATTTGAATACTTTGTCTTGTAAAACTGATTTTGTTCTTCTAAATAAAGGTTTTTGTTGTCGTATACCTATCTATGATTTCAATGGCATATTTTAAATTTTTTTCTATGTTATTTTGTTCGTCTTTTACGTCTTTGATCTATTTGACGTCTGAGCAAAAAGTTTTTACAACACTTAATTCAAAAACATCATATGAATCGCGACGACAACGACACTTCAGAATGTCACAAAACACTCGTTTACATATATTTTATATATAAATTTTGTTTACATTTAGCTAAAAAATTCAGTAATATGATAAAATAGCTGCAAACATGGATCATTATCTCACAACATACAGGAAAGACTATCTATGGCCAAATTTACCTGGTTCAGGGTCCGGTGGCGAAGGCGGCGGTCTAGCTGAGTGAGTATCATACGGAATTAATAAGAAAACTAATATTTGTTATATGTCGTTTCACAATAAGACAAGTTAATGAGTAAGAGGGAAGTAGAACTTTATTTTCCGTGTGGTATTTGTTCATACGAATGTATCAGTGATCTAAGTATTTTTGAATGAATAAAGTTATGTATAAAACATCTTTTAAATGATGGTTACTTTCCATGGAGAGAAAATTTTTTAGTTCGCCAGGATTTCCTTTCGTTGAACAAATCCGCCGAATGTATGAATAGATTTAAATAGAACTTTTATGGAATTACAGAAGCTTCTTAATCAATATCTAGATATAATTTGATTTATATATGCAAAATCCAAAACCTCTCAAAAAACTGTTTTACAAAACAGCAAAGGGTTGAGTAATAGGGAAGAAAGGAAAGTAAGCTATGAAACCTGTTAGACCTTAATTATTTCCAAGCTTCATATGTCCACATTAGGCTACAATTAATTTGATAGATACCTTTGAGTTAGCAAACAACTCTGCCAAAACCACGACTTAACCAGATGTATTATAAAGGGTGCCAAAGCTTTCTGGTCAAGAGCTAGCCTTCTACCAAGCATGCATGCAGCACACACGACCTCCAGACTGCCGATGTCCACAGTACTCCGGTGGAGAAATGCCGCAGCTACCTCCAGGGAAAGAAGGAGGATGGAGTAGAAGTGAGGTAATCTTGTCATGTTTGTAAGGAATTATGAAAAATAATTTTTGTATGTTTTATTTTGTTTTGTTTAAAGTATTAGAAAGGGGCGTCATGGTGGTCTTGGCTGTTTATATCCACTATGGGCGTTGTAACTATCGGAATTCAAAAATATAAAAATATAAATTCAAAAATAAAAATTCAGAAATATAAAAATATAAATTCAAAAATAAAAACACTCTTGTACGGTCCAATATCTTATTACTCGATTCCTTTACAACTGTATTTAAAATCATACTCAAGTAATAAGATGAAAATAGATTATGAGCTAATAGATTAGACGTTTGTAGTTTGTACTTTGTTTAAAGGCTTTCCATAGAGAGATCTCCTAACTATTTTTTTTTATGAAAAAAATCAAATGAACTACTTATTACACTGAAATATCGCTGACATTAATGATAAAACTGAAGCAATGTTGACAAAAGGAATTATAATTAACAATAAATTGTAAGGCAATTATTGCACACTTTATAATTAAACTAATATAAAATATGAATGATTTTAGTTAATGGGTCCGATGCTAGATCCAAAGCTTTATCCAGTACGTGTAGGAGCGAGCCCAGAGACCTCCACGTCACGCTATGACCAACCTAATGCGTTCTTAGATAAGGTAAGTATTTTAGTATTGAACTTTGTTTTGTTTGTTACTGATTTTAAAGTTTTACGAAGCAAAAAGTCGGTATCATCGATAATTTCTATTTCCAGCTGCAATCAAAGTATCCCATGCTGTACAGCATTCTACAGAATGAAGCGTCCCCAGAGCTCAAGCAGCGTATAGACAGAGATCGTAATAAGACGACCTACCAAAAGGATTACTGTGAATCTGGTAATTAGACAAAATAGCTCTTCAAAACTTACAGTGCTTATAGTTTTGTTTTATTCTACATCCAACAGTAAATGAGAATTTATTTATTACTAGAAAATTAAAGTAATATTATACGCATTACACATAAAAATATAACAATGCTATTAAATTTTTGTGTAATTCGCAGCACATGAAATGAAGTAGTACTGAATAGATCATTATTTAAAAATAAACTATATAATTATTGTCCTCTGACATTTTAAACTGGAAATAGTTTTCACAACGAATGGTATATCTAATAATCTAAAATAAATCATCAAGGTCCAGGAGCTAAATTCGAGGGTCTTCAACGGGCTGCTGATGAAAGCGGTACCGGACCCTGCGCTCAGCCGATGCGGCTCCCGGGAGACCCTTGTAGAGTGGGACCGAAACCGAGAAGATCTACACCGAGGACCATGTCCAAACAAGCCGGTGCGAGCAGCGGCGGTGATGCCAGAACTAAATGCGGTATGGAAACTAAAGCTTATTGATAGAAAAGTATAAATGGATGTGGTTTTTGGTTTGCTCATGACAGGGACTTACGAGCACCTGTGACTTGAGTTTGTCAAAAATGTTAAATAGATCTCTTGAGAATTTATAGTACCTGGATAAATAGGTGCACGTTAACATTGGATAAAGAAGGCCGGTAGAGGCAGTTGATTATAATAATGTTTCATTTCTTCTGAATAATATGTCCTTAATAACTAATATTAACGATTTTTGTCACAGAAACAACATCTGCAGTACCTCCGTTGGGTAAAACGGAATACCAAGACGGAGTCTCGAAGCTCGGCGCCATCATCATGCGGGACAAACTACACAGAAGATGAAACACAAACAATACAATATGTGACTATAATATACATATTCAACAATAAACTTTTAATCTTCATTACTTTAAACCATTTTACTATCCCTGGATTCCATTTGCTTTTAAATTGTCACGATCGTAATATTTAGGTGACATCAGTGGTCTGTATCTGTCGTGAATGTTAAAATAAATCCATACTTGTAGAAATAGTTTATTCTTCTTAACATATAAATAAAACACAACGTGATAAATAGAGTTTTATGTATAAAAGCGTGTGATACAATCTGTCATGCGGGCGGCGTTCTTGCGCTTGAGATGAGTTCACCTCTCTTGTAAAGCATCGTTCCTTCTCTTCTGGCGTTGTGGTCTTCTTTCCTCGTGTTCTGGTCTTCTCTCCTCGTATTCTGGTCTTCTCTTCTTATGACTTCTTCTCGTCGTACGGTATGTTCCTGTCGTGACACGCGTGTGCTTCTGGACACTGTCACTTCTTCATGAGTTCTGCCAACGACCGCCGCGCGGGAGTCTGAAGTGTTCCGTTCACTGAAAATGAAAACATCAAATTGATCACTTTGTACTCTAATAAATATATTTTGAAAGATTATCAGTAGGCAATTTTTGTGATTCTCGATAATATTTTATTAAGAAAAACCAACATCATATTATCATAAGACCAAAAAATCCACCACGTTTTTCAACAAAATGGTATTTTCAATTTGGAAGACATCTATATTTATAAAGAAAAGATATTTATAAAGAACTCATAACATATTACAAGGTATTTCAGTTCCATTTTAGTTTAGACGGAGGACTTAACTTACAATATATATTGCTATAGCCCTATAATCAATAAACAGCCTTTTATTCTTAACCAAAAACCGAAATCTTTGATTTGAAACTATGAAATTATTTCAGTCAGTCGTCAAAAACTCATGGTCATGACAACCTTTTTCCAAGTCTTGATTATGGGAGTGACTATTGTATACTGGATAACAATATACATAAATATTTAAATGAAACTAATATTTTTCGGATGTACTACGCGATTTCATTTTTGATAAAAAACTAAAAACTCCCGACGTTTCGGCTACTTTACATCAACCCTGACAACGGTGACCAACGTTTCTTATCATATTTTATATCGCATAGTACATCCAAAAAATATTAGTTTCATTTAAATGAATAAGACTCACGAAAATCTTAGATCTCATTATACATATATACATATTGTATATATATGTAGCCCTAGTAGGTTCTTTTCAAATTTGTTTAGGTAGAGAGAGGAGCTTGGACAGTGGAGGTGAGCGTATAACGCGCGTTATATAGGGCCCCTTAAACCTACACCTGGGTCGCAAGTCCCAAGCACTGTTGAAGGTCCTCTCACTGTAACGATAGACCCGGCACCCGCACGGTGAATCCATGGAATGCTGTGAGGTTTCGTCTCTGGCTATATATATGGTATATTTACCGCGAGAGCCCCACGAGGCGGTCTATGTCCCGGGCTGGTCGGGGCGGCGGGGAGGAGGGGGGCGAGCATGATGATGGAGACGCCGCTGATGATGAAGAACCCACAGCGGAGTCCCGCTTAGAAGAGGAAACCGAGCGACGGCGGAGAGCGGGGATGTGGAGCGACGCTGTGATCACCAGCTCGTCTTCAGACACTCCGCCCACCTTAAATTAGAATAAAACAATCATAATATTAGGTTTAGGTTTAAAGAAGTTTATTTCCAAAAAGAACAAAATTCGCTTCCAAAGGAAATTTTAAAAACTCTAACTACAATTAAAATTACAAATAATAAACAGTAGTGATATTAAACAAGATCAGTGAAGTCTTTTAATGTATGGGTTCTTAATCGTTTTTTAAATATAATTAGAGATTTTGAATTGACAACACTTAGAGGCAAAGAGTATACTTGTGATGCTTTTATCTATACTAATATTATAAAGATGAAGAGTTTGTTTGAACGCGTTACTCTCAGGAACTACTGGTTCGAATTGAAAAATCTTTTTGAGTGGAATAGAAAATTTATCTAGGCTTTAGTCTTTAAATAAATGTGTTGTTGATTAAGAGCATTTAATTGTGAACGAAATTGTCATTCACATCACTGAATTTCAATGAATAATAACAAAAATTAACGCGGACAAAGTCATGGGTAACAACTACATTTTTGAAAGCTGAGGAGGTTGTTTGCAAAAACGATTTTGTTGCCCAAATTACCTTTTCAACGCAGACGACGTCGAGGGCACAGTTAGTACTCTATATCATTTATTTCTTATTGTACCTATACAAGTTTATAAATATTTTTAATAATGTACCCCCGACGTTTCAGTTAGTTTACGAGTATAGCAACGATATACATAGATCAGAGATATAGATGAAAGATTGTCATCTCGTCAGATATTAATAAAAATTTTAACCGCGTCAGAAATAGAAAAATTATTTATTAATTTCAATGAATATTCGCGAAAATCTTGGCTGTCATTAAGTATGTAATCTTTACATTGATCTTCACGTAAAAAAAATATCTAAAGAATTCCTTAAAGACAGGGCGAAATTTCAACTTTAAATTGGTTACCTGAACTTCTGCAGTTACAGTTAGGCATCTTTTCTTAAGTATGATTGTGCTCATATAGTTTCTCTATGATCAGTGCTTTCATCTGATTTAAGTAAGGATCTGTTGTATGTTAAGTATGAAGAGAAATCCTAACCTCGTTGTAGTCGCTCGAGTCGTTTGAGTCCGGTGCGGAGTCTCTGTGAGTCATCACACCGCTACTGGCACGTTCCTCGCTGCTGCGTAACCTGAAACGATAATGTTATTTTAATCTTCCTTCCTCTTAGAGATCATCTTAAACTTTGACCTATGGTCTTCTTAATACACTGATAGGGTGACATGTTCTTTTACAAATCCTTGGACACCTAACTGCGTATTTTTTAGTGTCTATACAAATACATATTAATTTTACTGTAGCAACTTATTTAGTTCGTGGCTCAGTTATGTACCTAGGCTTCATTGCATTTATCAATGGCATAAATTTTTAGTCTTCCTTCCTTTTTGTTACAAATAAACTATGTGCCATTGCAAAGTATGATACATATATATATTTTTCCAAACACATTTATTTATCGAATCAAACAATTTTAGTGTAATAGTAAAAGTCCATACAAAATTTTTCCATTTTAAATACCGATTCTTTCCTTGTATGGTACAATAATATTAAAATTTATTCCTTATTTTTGACAACATAGTGAACACAATTTACCTGGTCATCAGCATGACTGCAGAAGACAGTGATGCGGATGAAGCATCCGAGTCTCTCGCCCTCCCGCCCTCCGTCACACTACTCCTGCTAGAATAACAAATACAACGTGTTTAGTTTGTTGCTGAACATGACCACATTTCCTTGTATCCCTACTAATATTATAAATGCGAAAGTAACTTTGTCTACCTGTCTGTTATACTTTCACGCCTAAACCACTGAACTGATGTTAATGAAATTTGGTACAGAGATAGAGTTGACCTTGAAAAAGAACATAGGATAGTTTTTATCCCACACTTTTGAAAAGTTCTCTTGGAAACGCGATATAACCGAATTCGACGCGGGCGAAGCTGCGGGCGGAAAGCTAGTATGTAATAAATGAATAACTTCCTAAATGACATAGCAAATTCTTTTAAATAATGATAAATGAAATAAAACTATTATTTTCCTTATTTATTACGAGTTTATACAAATTATGCATTTTTAGAAACATACTCCCGGTGGTTGGGTTGCTGCAAAGTACGTATGTTTATGAAAATAAGAAAACTTATAGTTTAATTTCAATTCTTTTAAGGCTGAAAACAAAATTCAACACTCAAGGTTTTTGGTTGGTTATGTTTGCCAAATTCGAAGTTTACTTATTTCTATTTAGAATATATATTTTACTTAAACTCGTTTAACAATAACTGTGTTCGGGATATTTATTTGTATACCTTGAGACAGCGGGCACAGTGTTAGCGGCCGCGTGGAGGAAACTCTCACGAGACCAAAGACGTTTAGCGCCCTCTGCATTGGCCTTTTCATTTTCTGCTGCTGTTCTGAAATATATTAGTATTGTAAGTTATCATTATAACTCTATAAGAAACCAAATACATTTTCAACGATCATCTTAGTGTCTTCTGCCAACAGTCAAATTCAATTCAATCAATCAGTTCTTGGCATTTCTCTATGGCATTATAATCTTTTATTTTTTATGAGGTGGCAAACGAGCAGAAGCCCTACTTGTTGGACAGTAGTCACTGTTGCCCATAGATATAAGAAACATAAGAGATGTTGCGGATGCGTTGCTGACATTGTTAATTGAGCGAATAAAGAAATGGTAGGAAAGGATGGGAACAGGAAAAGAACACCTTGAATCTCCTACCATTAATTAGGTGGTAAAGCCTAGCTGTACTTATGCAACTACAGATCAAGCATGGCTGACTCGACCAGGTACTATCCTCTCACAGAAGATCGACGTGAAGTAACCTTTAATGGTTGCGTTTCGTTTGATGAGTGAGAGAGCCGGTACTTTCCCTATTCCCACCTTTTTCTGACATTGCCTTTTAAAAGTTGTTTGGCAAGTTTGGCAACGCAACAGACATGTTGTGGATATCCATGGCGAAGGTGACTCCTGTACATCAAATAGGATGTCTGCTCATTTGCCAGCTTTTACATTTAAAAAACTGTATACTCACTCGGCCCTCCTAAGCAGCAGTGCGTCAAGCCCAGCCGGTGCGTGGTGTGCGAGATGTATGTAGGCCTCATGTAGTAGTTCCGCAGGCAGCGACCACAACTCATTCTGTCGCTCAACCAAAGTACGGACCACGTTGATGACGTCAGCTCTCTCTGATAACTGCTCCGCACTGAAAATTTGTTCAATGATCATCACGTTTTATATTAATTATTATATATTAATTATTGAACATCACGTTTTATATTAACAACCTGTATTGTCCTATATAAGACGTTTACGTATACTAAAAGGAAAAAGTATGTAGAAATCACAAATCATAACTTCAATATCTCAGAAACAGCTATTTTATGTAATAAACGTCTCTGTGGATTCTTATACCAAATCAACTATAGGAATATATATGTATGTATGTGTGTGTGAATATGTGTGTGAATGTGTGTACATATATATTGATCCATTCGTATAAATATATAACGGAAGAACCATTCTATAAAATATGTTACTCATAACATAGTGCCACGTGTTTACAGAAAAAGACTCAAACGTCTCCACAACACAGTCGCAGCCCGTTTTTTGTATTTATTTTGGCACTTCATCAAGAACAATGCAGTTTAAATATTACTCATAAATATTAGTTTAAAATATATTTTAATATTTGTTTTCACAGCAGTTTTCCGCTTAGGAACTATTTACTTTCCACTGTGAAACAAATTGGAACACATAAAACTCTCTGAAAGACATAACAGGATAAAGTTACATAATTTTTTTTCAGTATTAGATACTTGTAATTCTATGTAAAATTACATGTCATACACGTAAACGGGTTAAAGTGTAGTAAATTTTAAAATTTATTAGGAAATTATAGGAAAATTCTCATGTCAATAATAATTCTTACCTAGCGGTTTCGTTGGGTTTGTTCTTATGTAGTATATTTGGTGCGAAGATGGTGGCCAAGTTAGCGGCGTTCATCTTGTTACCAGGAGTGTCTTCGTCACCCGCGTGTGACGCTAGTTGTGAGAGGAACGCCAGCAGGGCGCTGAGAGTGTCGCGATGAGCAGCCGGCAGGAGCTGAACGATCAGACGGAGCGCCTCCCACTGAAGACGACGGTTACGGATCTCTGCAAACAACGAGAATAGAACATCAGCTGAGTTTAATACATTAGAAACTTACTGATACTTTATAAACCTGTATTTGTCTTTGTTATATTTATGAATAATAATGAAATAAAACAATTTACAGTCAGTGGTGGCCCAGTGGTTAAAGGCCCGCCTCTCGTTTCCGAGGGCACGGGTTCGATCCTGGCCCGGGCAAGTACCAATGTGATTTTTCCGAATCATATGTACTTTCTAAGAGTATTTAGACATCACTGATTAATGTTGATTCCCAAAAAGAGGGTTGATGTCAGGCACGCGGCCGGTCGTAAAAACAAATAGCCAAAACTATTCACAACATGTAAGGCAGACGCTGGCTATAGCTGGGAAATTGCCAGGTAGAAGATAGAAGAAGAAGAATGAAATAAAACAATGACCTTGTGGCACACAATTTACTGCTTGAACGTAGACTGACAACTGTCACAGACATTATTTATCTACCTACTATATGAATTTGTTACAAACACTATAGTCCTCTAAGAGAATTGTTTGCAAATAGATGGCCATTCATTAAACGATATTTGAATGTTAATTTTTTTATAAATAACATTATGATATAATGAACAAATATACTTCAACTATCTGATATAACTATATGAAAAATATAATCATCTGCCCGTGATTACAGGATGCAAAGTAAACGAAACTTCGGAAGTATGTATGCAAAGAAATACGCGCAATAATCCGAAAATATTAGTTCCATTAAACTGAATATTTTCGAAAGTCTTAGATCTCTAAAATATAACTTACTTTGTGTCTGTAGAAATGCGGGATAAAGATCCCTGCACAGCAATGGATCTGGTAAATCCCTGAGGAACTCCTTCAATAATGTGGCTACGTCGTGCGGACATACAGCGGCGTCTAAAGCTGCCTCCTGACCTCGCTCCCACTCTTCACGAAGCTGAAATGGTTTATAGAACACTTTAAATACAAAAAATATTTCAGGTTAAATCTCCTGATTCCTTTTTCTGTACAAGGTTAAGAGTTAAGTTCTATCACAAAGTATCCAATCAATCCAAATAATCCATCAAAACCGGGTCAACTATGAAAACCGATCGCTTGCCGTACGTCTAAAAACATCTAATTTGGTCGATAGATGTTTTATTCCCACCGCGCGTGTATGGACGTATGATTTGTAAACTCGCCTTGGATAGATTTACTACTATATTTTCTGTCATAGCAACCATTTTAAATGTGTGTTTGCTAAATAAAGTTTACGTTCGCAGACATTGTTTCAGGAGTCGAGTGCTAGAACCATCAATCTTGAGCTCTTTAGCGCTAAATATTTAAGTGCACAAAAATGATTTATTAGTATATTTCATACTTTGAATATATTTAATATACTTTTCAATATATAATTGTGATTAATAATATATTAAACGGTATAATTAGAGAACAATATAATTGTAAAACTAAATAAAATAAATGCTTTTTAAAACTTATTACTCTAACACTTTCTCCGGGTGTTGTGTTATTAGTAAATTCCTACTTATAATAAAAGGTAGAACAGCTATTTAACGCGAAACCAATTTCACAGTCCGTAAATAAATTTGCCGTTGTTGTACCTAATGAGCTGATGGGACGTTTGACGACGCGCTCTAATAAAACATTCATAATATACATTTATAAATAAACCTCATCTTTTCTCTTGAATTTTTCATTAATTATTAAATAGACGAAAACAACATTTTTAGTTACGAAATGGTTATAGGATAATCTTAATATATAAAAGAAAGTCGTGTTAGCTACACTATTTATAACTCAAGAACGGCTATACTGTTTTAGCTGGAAATTGGTGATGAGATAGCTTAGAAAAAGAGAAAGGATATAGGATACTTTTCATCCAATTGAAAAAGAAAAAAAATAAGTTGATCAAATACAAAATTTTCTTATCTACTGCCTTTAAGGAGGCATAGAGTTCGCCTGGTCAGCTATACATTTCTAATTCTGAATCTAATTCAGACGAAGTCGGGGACAAAAACTAGTTTAATATAATTTAGTAATTGAAGAGTTATATTCCATCTTCAAACGAATTTCATGTGTGAATTAGTGATATTAAACTAAAATGTAATTTCAAGCCATTCTTGTAACATATGAACATTAAAAGCAATTTTCCAAATAAGATCATTATGATAATTCCTCACATAATTATTTTATATACATTATCTATAAAAGTTGGATTAGTTAAGTTTTAATGAATATATTGTGTAATACAAAAACAACATGCTACCTGTCTAACTCTCTTCTTAGAGGCGGACACTCTGAACAGACCGAGTGTATCGAGGCCGTGTCTTCGGAGGTGGGACAAACATGAAGATACTAAAGCAGGAACCTTCGGGCCTCCGTTACCCTCGTCCACTCCTGACCAGCCCCACTCACCAGAGTCGCAGGATTCACTCTGAAAGCAGTTTCACATCAATAATGACTTACAATAATAGGTTTTTCTTAAGCTTGAAGATGTCAATTACAGCCAATAAGGGCCCATAATCACGGTTGTTGAGAAGTAACCGAAACGTGGGGAGTATGTACTTTTTTATTATAGAAATAATAAAATACGCGTAGTAATCCAAAAATATTAGTTTCTTTAAATCTATTTAGAAACACTATACATCCATTATTCTTAGTATATGTGACATATACATACATATATACCTATAACATTTTATTGAAGAGGATAACGGAAAATTTATTGACTGTTTCACAACATTATAAATCACAAGAGCAGTAAGAAGTGAATATTGTTAATTCTCTTGTTTCATGAATCGAAAAGTATTTAACGTCAATGAAGTTGATTGAACACTCAGGGTTATGGAAGCAGAATTTTAGGAATGAAATGATGTATGCTAGCAGCAAGTGTAGCACTTATTGTGATTTATATGTAAACAAGTTGAATTTTTATAGCGAATAAATCTCTTTTGTCAACAATTCAAGCGTTTTTATACACATATCTTGATCGTATATAGACCATTGAGATAAAGAATACTTTTGCAAAGACTGAACAGTTTCTTTACTTATTTAAATTTGGTATGTTTGTAATTTTCTATAGATAAATAGGAATTAAATCAAAGCAACTTATCACCGACAACTAGTAACTAACATAACATCACATTTTTTTAATTTGATAGTTTATTTTTAAGAGCTTAATCCTCACCTGTTTCGAGTGCGAAAGATATAGAAAATTTAACTTGTTGTATGAATTAAATATTATATAACAAGTGGCTAAATGACTTAGCAGAACAAAAACCTGGTCGTGTAAACCCAAAGACTCCTGACACAACATTAGAAATGAGGTGTGTCTTAGGTACTGGCTATTAATTACAATATTATCAGCATTTCGAGTCTTCCTGAATTCTCTAACTGGTCGTGACTCTACATAACTATTCTATTAACAATTATGTCTTACTTTCTATCACTAAACTATTTTCTACACCGTACCCCCTTAATGTTAGCTCGTTTAAAACTTTTGGTACTAAGATCAATAAGGTTCATCTATTAACAATGAGCCTGGCGTTGCTCGTCTATTTCAGTCTTAAGATCGTGATGCTGGAGCGTCATACGATAAAATTATCGTGACCTTAATGAAACCATCCACTAAGGCCGCCCAGGTAACCAGATATCGTACGTCATAATGACGTGCCGTTACGTCAAATTTGACCTATAGCGTCCAAATCGGAGTCGGCCCGTTAAGTTTTTATCGTCCGTTTTGTTAATTGTATAAATCAAGTATGGAGGAGACTGGACATTTGTGTACAAGCTACACAGTTTGTTGGGACGTTGATTTATGTACCAATATATTTATGTTCATTGTTTATCTTTAAATTTTATTGTTTATATGATATTTTAGTTCGTATTTTCTATCTGTTACGTCAACCATTCCTTTCTATTTGATAGAGCGACCTCAAGATATCTTTGATTACAGGCAACATACCTATATATCTGCTCTTAATTATTATTATTACATTCTTCCTTTTGTATTGTCTGGAAAAATCAAATTTAGATCAGATGTAGGAAAAACAATAATGTCTTGAAGGTCGAAAAGAAATAAGAAAAATATGTTTTCGCGTTATCGTCTGCCCTTGATATAAATTTATGCAGCTTGTAAAATAAATATTACACAGTTTTTTATTACACGTCAAACGTAAAATTCATATTCTAGTAAAATGATTATTCTTATCAATTACGATTGTTAATTTTGAAACAGAGTTGACATTGGTAGTAACAGTTTATTGAAGACAATGTACTATCTAGGACTAACAGAGATCATTCAAGATTCAGCGAATTTCACAAAACATTGTTATCATACACACGGACATAAATCAAAACAGCTGTCAGGAGTTTGATGTATTGAACACAGACGATTGGCTCAGTGATGTTTCCGCCTACAGCATCTATATAGTCTGGATAACGTCTACTCTCTACTGAATACTAGCTATTGTCAACCTCACCTTTCATATCAAATTGTCTTTCAAACTTCACTCAGAGTATATGTCAATTAATCTGTAGTTTTGTGTCGTTTCTTAAGATCGTATCTCTAGATTTTATGTCATCCATAGTATAGTTCGTATCATCAAAACTATTTGGTATAATTGAAATGCATTGATAATTAAAAACAACGTAGTAACTAGTATCTGAAGTCCAAAATATTCTTCTCCAATTATATTTTTTGGAAATTATAAATCAAAATATAAAAAATTTGTGAACATATCGATTGGCGGAATTTGTAATATTAATTTATTAGTTAAATAACTCACTACATACTCTACTCTGTTCTAGTCTAAAGACTGTAAGGACCGTAATGAAGGTAAATATAACAGGAAATTTTAAGACAAATCCTCATCTTCGTCGAACTTGATGGATCATTAAATGTGCCGCAAGCATAAAACAGTTGTCTCGAAGAATGTCCGTACAGTAAATTTAACGTTCCCTTTAAAACGTTTCGGCCACGGCTGTGCGTCAAACTAATAATTTAATCTGTTTTAAATACATAAAACCAAAACAAAGGTGAACATGATGTGTACATTTTCACGGGTGTTTTGCGGAAAATCGAGCCAGAAGTGCTAAAATCGCGTGACTGACGGACGTTAAACGCAATTATTCAATTTGCAACTGTTTATTTACTTAGAAACGATATAATACCTTAATACGAAGCAACCTCTAACGAGACGAGTCGCGTTCACTGTTTCATACGTTTAGATTTTATGATTGATTGCTTTTGTTCCGAGAACATGTTTTGCTCTAATGATTTATTTATACAACGTTATTATTAAGACGTCTTATTTCAAAAGTGCCAACTATTCGAACAGGGAATTTAAACATATTTTCAGATTCATACAATATAGATGGTACATTATTAAATCGTGAAAGTTTATTGTACATTCAACAAACATTTCACCTCCCACCGCCTTATAGATCTCATATTATATCTCTTGGACAATATTATTATGATATCTGAACAATCTGATGTCTATCTCGAATTCCTTACATTTGTCCAATAGTGGATAGGTCCAGGTGCAACTAAACTGTTACGTGTCTTGGCTTTCAGTGGCGGACTATTTCTGCACCTCGAATATCGCATGCCAAAACACTTAGCTTCTCCAACCATTCACCAAAGAACTCCTGTTCTCATAGGTGCGTCGTATACAACGAGATATCCCTCAGATTTGGAGGTCATTCAACACTGGTAGGCGACTAGACTGGATATTGTGACGTTGCAATAATTTATGTGCACCAGTTAGTTGAAAATCGAATTTATCGAGACCGTTTATTTTGTATTTCGGCGTAGAGCAAATAAATTGTTTTAATACTTAGTTCCAAGACCGCGTCAGTTATCAACGTTGAAATATATCAGGATGTCAACACAAACAATGCAAGAGAAACTTTTGTTTTAATATTTGAAGGTATTTATAGTCGTTCGAATAAAATTCATGAAACACAAATAGAAATCGAGCAACTAAATAATTAAAGAAAGATATAAAGATCCCAAAAGATAAAACTTACGTTTGATAATACTTATTTGAGGAATTTTATGGTAGATGGAAAACAGGGATGGTCCAAGCCTACAAAAGTTGATGAAAAGTATTATCGAAGTGTAAAAGAATTAAAATTTAAAGGAAATCTTAATCAAGATACTTCTTAAAGCTGAAATAAAAAATCAAAATACATAACCCTAGCAGACTGAACAAACATTACACCAAAGACGTATACGTATACAGGGTGTGTAAGACGAAAGAAATGTGTTCTAATTACATCTTGCTGTATGTAGTAACTAACTGTATATAGATTGTTCTTATATATATGAGTTCATGTATACATTAACATCTGAATATATAAATATACGTTTTTTCAATCAAGTTTGCCTACTACCATACAGAACGTTTTCTGGTTTTCCCGAAGATTTAAAAATGAAAAAATTGTAGACGTTTGATATGTAGTATGGCTATGTAGACCAGATGTAAGGTAGAAGGATTTTAAATAGTAAAATATATTTTAAAAAAGTCCCGACACACTATCGATAGAGTAAATAGAAATAAACATTTAATATGTTTTTGAATTTTGATTCTTTATACTCGTATATATACTACACGATATTGAAAAATGTAATTATATATGTCTTATTCAATTATTATTATTAATTAATCATCATATACACGAAATATATTTAATTGATTTATATACAAGATATATTTATTTATTTTTCTTGTTTATAATTATGGAAAATAAAGTAATGATTGTTTTTTATCCTGACTGCAAGTAACTAGTCGTTCTCTGGTAAATAGCTTGTATTTATAAAACTAAAATATTTTTTGGTATTATATCGATTTAATCTTGTTAGACCACACATATCCTGACATATTTTTAAGCATTACCTGTTTGTGAACATTTTTTAACCACACCTTGAAGCTATATTAAGTATCAATAAAAATAGTATAGTGCTATTTCTATTTCTGTTCAAACGCTACTATTGTGGATTCGCTAGGTTTATGCGAGCCGTGTTGAGAGATGAACGGCACGTGGATACATTTTACTCTTACGTTTCTCACATTATTTAGATTTGACAAGCATTTATATTATAAACGAAATAATTTCACAGCCAAATATGTATATTGATATGAATTCATGTTCATAGTATTACGCTCATAGTTATTTAAATTTTTACACGATTCTCTTTCTTTCTCTCACGAGTTTCTCGAAAGTACTTGTAATGTAAATTATTGCTGCTAGTTTAAGCAGAATGGAATTCACACCGGACATCGAAGTTGATGTTTAAATGATGATCAGATTTAACATCATTTACTGGAGTACCTAACGAATAATATATAGACTAAAGCTTAAACAAGTTTGTTGGTAGTTATTTCTTAAACTTACAGTATTTATATACAAACAAATAAAAGTAATTATATGTAGTATTAAAATTACAAAAGAAATAGGATGCACAAAGGATAACTGATGTCTTAAAAAGAGATCTCTAACAGAAACCCTTTTGTTAGCGTTAACAAGAGTAGAAAGATTATTATAGAAATATCAGATTATACCCATTTCATAGTTAACTCACATCGTCTCCTTTCTCCAAGCCTCCAATGGAAGCCAGCGAGGCCCTGGAACCTCCATGCTGTCTCCTTAGAGCTCGTTCTGTTTCCACACATTGAGACAACGGCACGCCGAAAACACTGCCAGTGGACTCTAAACAAAAACAATCAGTATCATTTAAACGTTTATTAATGGTTTATTTGGTTGCTCATGTATCTGAATACTTCTTTGAAGAAATAAATCTTACAGATTGTAAAGTAATAAAACATGTTATATAAAAAACAACTTCACAATCAAATGAAACTAATATTTTCAGATTACTACTCGAATTTTAATATGTTAAAACTACATACTTTCGATGTTTCGGCTACTTTCCAGTAACCGTGATTATGACAGACGAGAGTAACCCGAATAATATTAGTTTCATTTAAATGAATAGTCGTTTTACGACTATTGCTTAGATCTCATTATGTGAACTAAACTATTACTTCATGAAACTGTTTGAAAATATATAATTATTTGTATATAGAAAATATTTACTATGAATTGATGTATAGTTTCACACTATACTGTTTTTTCGCAGTTTAATTTATGACGAATTATTCATATTAATTTCTGTTTTATCTGCTTCCCACAATTACTTTTTGCTGATCACCATAAAAAAGTAATTCTTAAATCAAAAACAATTATATACGTCGTTAATATATGTACTTTTTCACAGCAGATTTTCTTCTCAATCACATTAATTTTGCAGATTGTTTTTTTTTTATTGACCTTGTATGTAACATCAGTCTAAATAGTCATACTAGCCATACGATTCTTGTATATATGTATGTATATATCTGACGATTAATACAATATTATAGCAGCTATACGTTCAAAAATATTATATCTTAAATCTTTCATTATGTTGACTTTGTTCATTTTAAAAACTCGCTATGTATTTCAGGTTGTGAACACGAATCTTTTAATTATCTAAAGTGTATTATAAAACAGCCCGAATTAATACAAAAAACCAGTCCCACTGACCCACAAAAATAAAGCATATTTAACACTGGTTTAAATCCATTAACTAAGATATCATGAAATGTCAATTGCGATAATATTTTTTAAACTTTGTGTTTTATTGTATAAGTTGAACATTTGCCAATTTTTTGGCTGCAACTTACAGGTTTAGCGTTTTTTCCTTATTACAATATAAAATCAGGTCGCATTTGTCAACACTCAAATATTTTGGTTGCAGGTAATTAAAAAGAAATCATGTTACTCAACGTTTTGATCACACATTCGGCTCACTTTAACCCATTTAATACATCTGTAAATTGAAGTAATGTTAATCTTAATTAAAATACTGTACAGTACATATTTTTCCGAGTCATATGTACTTTCTAAGAGTATAAATTAGACATCACTGATTAATGCTGATTCCCAAAAGAGGGTTGATGTCAGGCAGGCGGCCGGTCGTAAAAACAAATAGCCAAAACTATTCACAACATGTAAGGCAGACCCTGGCTATAGCTGGGATATTGCCAGGTAGAAGAATAATATATGAACTTATACATAGCATTTAAATAATCAAAATTTCTTTCTTAAATCCTTCGAACACGTGAGTATTAACAACTACAATTCCTTACTACATGTATTTGTACTAATTTTGAACTAAATTCCATTAGTTTCTGTAACTTTGCGGAAGTAGTTAAAGTATTGTACGATAATAAACGGTCGGGAATAGACGGCCTTTGAACTTTAACAGTGCCGAGATACACTTACCAAAACGTTATAATGATTTATTAAAAAACAAACTTATTAATACTGATTTATATTATTTGTATTCATAAAGCTGGTATTCATTTTAATTTAAACGTAAATTTAATATTTCTAGTATTAAATGAGCTTAATATAGTAAAGGTTTTAGAAGTAAAGTAATATTTAACGTCTCGTTGTTTAAACCACGTTTTCGTAGGCTCGAAATTCACAAATCATTATCAGTAGGTATGTCTTAGATTCGATTTAAATACTCGTCAGTTATCTGATATTTAAATAGCAAAATTCACAACGATATTTTTAGGAAATGAATAAATGTAGCTTTTTTTTTAAGCGTTGTGAATTGTGATATTATACAAGTTACAATTTCAGATCTAAGATTTGAATTTTACATCTCGTCTGCCAGTGATCACGGTTGCTGAAAAGTAGCCGAAACGTCGATGTTATATAGTTTTTATCAAAAATAAAGTCGCGTAGCATATCCGAAAAATATTAGTTTCATTAAAATGAAGTTACGATTTGCTCTATAGTTTAAACTTTAAAGCAACCTGACGTTTCTTTGGACAGTTAAACCCGACCTTGGATATGAAAAAAAATAATTAAATAAAAATATATAAGTTCAGAGCAAGTCAAAGATTGTTTATCGCATAACAATATATGGGGCTGATGACGGACAAAGCTCACGAACAGACATCGCTCTATTTTTACATGGCGCCTACACTATGTTGAACTAAGACTTTCAAATTCTCACATCTTTAGTCATTATTGTTGCTGTGGTCAACGCTCTATTCTGATAGCAATGTACTATAAAACTACTAAACTAATCTACTTATAATATAACTCATATTTATACCATCTTATACTTATGAATATCTAAAACCAAGTATGCAATAAAATAGTATCGTTCAAGAATGTGTCTGTACCGTTGATTGAATAGAATTTGTCTGTGCATCTATTTCACTAACGTGCCGGCTACGTAAACAAACAATTGTTCGATTTTGCATACATATTGTCTAAAATTATCACAGAATATTACTTGAAAAGAAAATATTCAACATCGAAGAGTTTTTATTATATTATCAATGTGTAAATATTGTTTTTTTTTTATATTTCATTTCATAGTTATATTGAGTAAGGTCCAGATTTAGCTTCAAGTTTATATTTAAATATTTCTCTTTGGATATATGAATAACAGATGGTTCACATCTCAACTGTGATCGTGTTATCGAAACTCTATTATCAACAAAAATGCGGTTATTCTCATTTTATTAACTTTGAATTATAACAGCTTCGTTTATAAGTCCTTACATCACACGTCTATATAATTTATCTATTACAAAATGACGAATACGTTTATATATAAACTAAATTAATTAATTATTATTATATAGTACTAATTAGGCATTTTTTTTCTAAAAAACAAATTAGTAAATATAAGTTTACATTTACTTTAAATGGTAAAATCTAAATAGAATTAATCAATTTTGTGCTTAGAAAAATGTATCTTATGGATTTTAAAAGGTAAAGTAATAGTAATATCATGACATTATGTATCCGATTGCTTAACTTTTTTAATGTTTTTAGTCTCTTGTAACTTGTATGGGTATTGAATGAAACAGTTTTGTTCATTATATAAATTCAAACTCTAACTTCTTTTACCCTCAAAGTTTTTAATTCGACATAAAACATTTTAATGTCACAATATCATACGAGCAATGTTCAGGAAATCGTACGTAGTTGTTCAAGTTATCTTAACAATTTTCAAAATGCTTAAGTCGAAACAAAAATTAATTTTTACTACGAATTTACGTTTCTCATTGTATTAACCTATTTTTTCTCCAAGTATAAAAATAAATATATATTAACTACCAAACGTGAATTCATCGCTTAACGCATATTTTTTAAAAATCTTATGGGTGATTTGTACAATATTATTTGGCAAAGATTAAATAATTCTAATTATTGTTAAATGGCAATATATCAACAATATTTATATACAATATTAGAGGATTTTATGACACATATACATGTACAATACGTCTACTAAATTCCTTGAAGCTGATTCATCTAAATAGTATTACGAGACCAATTATAAATCAATCGGATGTGTTCATTACCGCTATTTAATGTTATAAATAGTATGAGAATAGATATTTTCTGGACATTGTTACATTTTTTACAATCCACGGAATAACGCTATGGGGATTGGTTTTAAACAAAATGAACGCTCAAGGTCGCTACGTCGATCTGTTTGAGAGGAAAGTTTTGTTCGATATTATTTTAGATGCTGTAACATTTGGGTTAGTAAACCAATAGATAATGAGATCTAAATTTCGCTAGTATTCATATAAATAAAAGTAATATTTTCGGATTGTTACTCGTATTTTATTGCGTTGCTGCATAGTAACCGAAAAGTCGGGAGAGTGTAGTTAAAAAAAATAAGCGTAGTAATCCGAAAATATTAGTTTCATTTAAAACAACAGATAATACTTCTGATTGCTGTTTCTGTCAAACTGGTTGATGTTTAATTATAATTTATCAAATAACTTTAATTAAATTAATTCTAAGGTACTGGAAATTTGGACTTGACGATGGCATTTCATAAGGATTTCATTAGTTTGATAATTATGTCCAAAAGACGTAAAGTACTATAATATTTAATTAAATCCACAAATTAATTTCACTAGTTACCTTCAAGAGATATAATAAAATTAAGCCTAATGTTTATCTACTTTAAGTAACTAGAAGATTAAAGTGAGTTCCGAACGAATTTAAAATTAATATTAATTGAAACAGAAAACATCGGCTTGAGGAAACATTCATAGAAGATGACTATAAAATACATCTACATATTATTGCCTTTAAGAAAATTAGATAAAACAAATAACGGTCTTTAACAGTCCCAACCGTACAACAATTATTATTAATTCAGTATTTATATCATTGATCAACTCATCAGTATTATTTAAATTCAACAAAAACAATAACTACCATTGAATTCGATATTCATATTAACTGTCAATACGTCACCTACAAGACATTGTAATGTACACCCTTGACAACCAGCCAACAGACTTGAATTTAATACTTAAAATTCAATTCCAAACCGATTGTTCGTATGTACGTTGAATCAAAACAGAATGATGAGTGACGAAAACATCATAAACATTGGTATGGTGGTATGGATATTCTTGTATTTTATAAAAAACAAGCAGTTTTCATACAGTTGATTACTATAAGAAAATAATATTAAACTAAATTTTTAATATAATAATGATAAACGTAATACATATATTTATAGATGTATGATATGTATTATTATTAAAGTAAAACTTCTTTACACACACCTGACTTGGGAGTAAGCTGGTGAATGCGTGACAAAAGCGTTACGAAAAATGTGATCGGGCGAGGCGAACGAAAATAAGAGGGAGGTAGAGGTGCTGTAGGTACTGTAGAGGGAAGGGAGAGAGTGCAAGTGCATATTTTCTTTCTCACTCCATTCATAGCCAGTGCATGAAATATATACACATATCTATATTAACCACATATAAAGATATGCATATACATATTACATATAGATGGAGTGAAAGGAGTTTTACTTCAGTCGTGTGGTCTAAAGCACACTGGTGTATCTGTTTGTATATACCTATATCTATTACCTTTCTCTTTCTCAGCGTCCTTAGGTCGCTGATCGAAGAAGCCAGTGGTGAGCGCTTTTCTTTTCAGGAGGTAGGCGCGACGTTTCGGCTTAGTCGCTACTGTTGACGTGTTATCTGGACATAAGATTGTATTGTTAATTAAGATAGGTATTATAAAATAATGACATCTAAGATATTCACGAGTTTTATTCATTTAAAAGAAACTTATATTTTTCGGATACACTACACGTGCTTTATTTAAAAAAAAACGACATACTCCCGGCGTTTCGGCTACTTTTCAGCAACCGTGATCATGGACAGACGAGATGATATTATAAAATGGTGCTGTTTTTAGGAATTTGCAAATATTTTATGTCATCAACTACTTTAAATCTTAAGACACTGCACAAAAAACCTTACTACATATCGTTATTTTTGCAGATTGTAATTCTATGTAATATCGCTTTTTCTGAGTAAAAGTCGTCACGATCTAAATAAACAAAAATATTTTGATACTCAACAGGAAAACAATAAAATCGAATTTTTATCTTCGTGCTTTCAAGAATGATAATAAAAGATATTGAAATAAAAAAAATCCGTCAGTAAACAAAAGAGAAGTTAATGCGTTTTGCAACGCGATATTTGTTTTGATGAGTGTTGGAGACATTGATACCGAAGGATGAAGGATTCATTCAAAACAGATTTAATATCAAAAACAAATTATTTAAAATAAATAATAAACTTAATAGATTGTTAGAGCATATATAGTATTAATAGTATTTTAACATGACTTCATTTGTGTTCTTTTCAGTTTTGTAATCAGAGAGTTAACTTAATATTAATAAAATAAATTAATAATGTGTGTTTAATAATTTGATGGGTTAACCAAAAGTCAGCGACAATTCTCGTCTGTGTCACATTACTTCATGTAACTTACAACTTAAAAAATAAATATGACCTACAGTTATTCTGTAAGTGTTTATTCATTATATTTTAAACAATTACAAATATCTATATTTACAAAATTAGATAATATATCCAACCTCTGACAAGTTATAGTCCAAAATAGCATCAAATGTGTTTAATTTCAAACAAAATTTCATTAAAAGAAAGTTAAGAATATATTTTAACATTCACTGGATAACAAAAACTGATCTATTTCCAACAAGAATTTAGATTGAAAATGCATACCGTGACTACTCACCAGTCAGCAGCGGTGACGAACATTAGTGTCATGTGTCAATGTCATTATTATCACTTGAGCAATAATCATTACAGATTATGGCAATTTATATGTTAAATAATCTTTTTGACACTTAGAATACCATAAATAATGAAGTATAACTAACTTATATTGGTATAATTTAATAAAATCTGGTGTATTTTTCAATATGTATAAAATTTTTATTTAATACATTTTAAACTGAATTCATTTAAAATATATTGTGATTCGAATACGATCGTATAATGATTGCGTGTTGTTTTTATTTTATCTTAAAATAAACACTTATTATTCGTTTTCAGCGTTCATTTAAATCAAAGTTTTTACAAATTATTAGTGACAACACTAAGAGCTTTGTGACACGAAAATAGATTGAAAGACAAAAATAACCAGAGTAACAAGATTTTGCAATAAATTTATATTAAAAACTATTTATATATTGAAATTACTAGTTTTGTTTTTGATGTTCTCACACTAGAGATAGATTTACGTTGTTCAAACGACCTTGACTTAATTAATAATTTATTGTAAGAAATCTTCTGTCTATTTGTTCAAATATATTAGGAACATTACATTCTTAATGTTAAAATTTATATATAATAAATAATACGTTAATAGATCATAATTTTAAATAAATAAAAGTAAAGTAAGTTTTAATTAATTCTCAGTTATAAACCTAGCCCCTTTTTCATGGTACACCTTTAATATTCTACATTTCCTTGTTACTATGACAGTATAATCAGATAATCTCGAGTCTGGCGCTAGCTGCTTGTGGGCGAAGTAATCTGTCTTCGTAAAAATATCCGTCCGTGATTCAAGACCAGCTTTTGTTTTATATAGTGTCGAATAAATATTGTTTAGAACGTCTTTTATTCACTTGGAGTGGATCTGAAATATGTTGGTAAGTGGCAGAGCTTGGGAACTGAAATAGAATTATAATTGAATAGAGATTTCCTAACACATTTTTATAATACATTAATGTTTTTGCTAAGAAATGTTACCTCCATCAATTACTATTTTAATATTAATGTTGTTGTGTCGCAAGATAATGGGTCGGAATGTCCTATTTTTAGGAATAACTCGACGTGTATACACTTTCGACATTATGTTTTGTACTTGAGAATTTAGTCCACAAAAATACGCTAGGTAATATACTTACAAAGTTATCCTATTATTTGATTAATTCTTACTCTCATTTCAGATTCTGTCGTTTATTATCACATTACTTAATATTTTGTTATATAAATAAAAACTAAAGATTTCTGACTTGTCGATCAATCTCTACTTTGTCATTTTATTGGTTAGACTTTGAAATAGTTGCAAAAACACTAAAAAAAACTACTGATATAAAAAAGACACTTAATGGCTGACGAGCATAAAATAATTCCCACAAGATATCGTAAAGCCAAGCTCTATATATCTTGAGAACAACAACTGCCACGTAACGATTCACGTTACCATTTCTGATTGACGTTTGTTATCGAAAACTGACATCGATCTACAAAACTAAACTGTAGACAGTACAGGAGAGACGTGTTTGTAAGACTCGCAACTAGACGAGACGAGAATACTTCTAAATGGACGCATACTTCAGCAAATATTACGAATTTTATACACTATCAACTCTTTGGGACATATTTTTTGTTAAAAATGTTCTGTCTATGAATTATATATTTTCTTTTTAGTTTGTAGATTGTGTTATAATTTTTAAATTGCATAAACCATCAATATATATAGAATCTGAACTTTTAATCATCATATGATATATGTATTTACTTGTATATCAAAGTAATAATTAATTTAAAATATATAAAAAACCGTACGAATGATCAAGACCCAGATTAAAAATGTATATAAAAATGTTAACATTCCCGAATTAAAAGTGATAAACAAACAAGTCGCTGATTGCGGAGTCTGCCAAGTCCAGAGTACGTTAAAATTATAAGCCACCTACAACGAGAGGTAATCAGAAATAATCTTAACAAACTCATTGGGTATCATGTGATCGGTTCAAGAGACATTTCCAGCGTTGCCAACTATTATGTTATATAGAATTATTTTTATTATAATATGTATATCTATTTTTATAACAATCGAAAACAGATTATACGCAGCAAAGTCAAAAATAATTCAAGTATTTGCTTATAGTCTACTGAGTTCTGGTTCCTAACACATATTTTAGCAGACGATGTTTCTTCTTTATTTCTTGTCGTTTTCATAAATATAGTCATAGTATAGTCACAACAAATCATACGACAGTCACGTATGAGGAAATAATGGATCAAATTAGTATTTAGGAACATAAAAGAAGGATTGCTTACATTCAAAAGGCTATTAGCGATGTCTAAATACAAATTTACAATAAAATAAAAGAAGGACAACGAGTGGACAGAATTTAAATCAGACCTACTTAGAAATTAAGCTTTGCAGGTTACACAGTCTTATATTGAATAGTAAACTTGATTCTATTATAATAATAACAAATAAGACATTATAATAATCATGTATTGATATTTATTTGAGAACAAATATTTCTTTATATATAACATGACATCACTAAAGGAAGAGGGAGAGCGTTCCTCAATAAGAATGCCTGGACTTAACTTTCTTTTTTATAAATATTATGTTAGAGGGAAGTTTTATAATATCTTTGTTTATTAAAAATATTTTATTTGACATAAAGGGGATTTAAAATATAATAATCGCTAAAGAAAACGAAAGAAAATGACGTTGAATCCGACCAGCTACAGCATTTATCATATTTTCAACGATTTCAAATGCCTTTACCGTTAAGTAAAACATTACTTTTATTTCTATGAGGACAAAAATTGCACTATTATTGTCTCGGTGTATCAAGGAATGTAATTTCCAATACAAACTGAAGATGGTCCTTACAATGACGTCAGAAAAGGTGAGAAAATCAATTAAATTGATTTAGAAAATGTGTAATACCACAACCATAAGCAAAAGAGCAATACTATGTATATTTAAAGTACATATGTATAGTATTCTTTAAGCAAATTAGTGTATAGTGTATCGAAAATATTATTATTTAAAGTACTCAAAGACAAATCATTCAAAATTTAAATATATGAAGTAACGACTTATAACAACTCATATATCATCCTGTGACTCACATCCTTTCCACCAGCCTGTAGCCTGTAGCACGAGGTGGGGAGTCGCTGACGAGTAACGTCACTCGCGTCACCGTTACGTAACAAATGAACGACGTGTATATTTGAAGGCGGTCATTTGCAAATAGCACATGTCTTGCATGTGTCAATGTATTTATAGAGACACTCCACTGGGTCACCTGTGCCTTCATTTTTTAGCTTCATTACGTTCCGTACACATACTGCTTGTTATATTTAGAACAGCTACATCACGTATCAACCAGGAAAGATTTTCAATACGATACTTACATTTAAACAATACACTAGGCTCATACATTATTTTACTATAACCGATTTAAATTATTAAGATTAAATAAAAATTGATATCCTTACTAATATTATAATGAGAAAGTAACTCTGTCTGTCTGTCTGTTACGCTTTCACGCCTAAACTACTGAACTGATTTTAATGAAATTTGGTACAGAGATAGAGTTGACCTTGAAAAATAACATAGGATAGTTTTTATCCCAGACTTCTGAAAGGTTCTCTTGGAAACGCGATATAACCGAACTCCACGCGGAAGAAGCTGCTTGCGGAAAGCTAGTAAAAATATATATGGAATTTTTTGTATTAACTATAATCAATGACAAGTCTTTTAAGAACGTTAGTCGATTCTGAAATGAGTAATGCCCACTGCAACCGATGACAGAAATTATTAAACCCGTGTAAATCTCTGCTAATAGGTAAAAGATAAAACACTGGCAGACTACCAAGTTCCGAGTGATGGGTTACTGTTAACTCACACTGGGACACTCGTATAAATCCTAGCTGACGTTTTATTACGTAAGTGATATACGAATAAGTATCAGATGGTTATTTTAATAATTATGTCAATGCAGACTTATTATGTTATTAAAAAATCACGGTTTTAGCTTTAGAGATGTTGTGTTAATCCTCAGTTATGTTTTGTCTACTATAAATATATTGTAAAGTTTGTGCTATGAAAGATTATGATCTTGATAGAAATTCTACATTTGATATAATTCTTCTTTTCTAGTCAGTGGTGGCCTAGTGGTTAAAAGGCCTGCCTCTCATGCACGAGGGCGCGAGTTCGATCCTGGTAAGTACCAATGTGATTTTTCCGAGTCATATGTACTTTCTAAGAGTATTTAGATGGTGAAAGAAAATATCGTGAGGAACCTGGACTTATAATTTCATAATTAAAAGTTTCAAATCACCAACCCGTCTTGAACAAGCATGGTGATTAATGCTCAAACCTTCTCCATGTGAGAAAGAGGCCTTTGTTCAGCAGTGGGCTCTGATGGGCTGACGACTACATGACTGCTTCATTTAATCTTATATCAACTCTGTAGGTTAAACTTCAAATCTATTCCGTATTTAGATTGAAATCTAGCTCAGTTATGTATGCATAGTTTTAAATTTAGCTTATAATCTCCAAAAATATGTATGTACAGTATAATAATAGTTAGAAGACTTCCGTGTTTTGATAAAATGAACAAAATACATTTCGACTGTTAAAAAAACACTATGTTAATTCAACGATCAACTTTAAAATCTTAATTAAGGAATAGAAGTTGAATACATAATAGAAGATTATATAGATATCTTAAAAACTATAATACAAATGCTAAAAGTTGACTTGTTAAATCTGTGTTCTAGTATTTAATTTTACTAGAACCCTGTACATATGAACTAATATCTTCATTAATACGTAAAATTTTAAAGCCGGAAAGTATAACAGTTCTCATTTCCTGTCACAGAATTATATTAAAATTTAAATGTTTATTTAAGCACTTCGTGACGGGATCTCGTGAAAAACAAGTTTTTGTAACGTTCGTTGGAAAATATTATTTCGATTTATATTCATAACAGATTGGAATACGAAACAAAATGATATGTATGTATATTAAAAGGGTATGCAAAATTTTTGTTTTACATTACATTAGTCTTTCAGTTGAACCGATATTAAAACTAACCATTTTTAGTTTACTAAATGGACAAAGCGTATCTTCATCTTTGCAAAAACAGAAAAAAACTTACTAATCCTATTTAAGAAGCACAAACAAGATCTATAAAAGGTTTCTTCCTCTATATTCTATTTTCAAACCTAGTCTATAGAATTTTTCATTCAAGTTGCTACTTCTACTTACCCTCAGGTATCTTAATAGTAGTTCCAAGGTTGAGCTGCTGTAGCCTGGCCAATGCCGCTTGCTGCAGCGCCCTCCTCTCAACCTCCGTGAGAGACAGCAGTGAGGTATCCGTGAGCTTCACGCAGCGCCCGGCGCCGTCTGTCCAGCAACAACTGCCCTGCACAAAAATAACATTAACATACTCAAAACATCACAGAAGCCTTTACACTATGTACGAGATGATACCAAATATTCAGGGATCCCGTAAACTAAATAAAGGAGTCTTTACAAAAATGTTGCTTAAAGTAAAAGAAAAGTTGGTCCCATCTAAAAAGTATGGCAAGATTGAGTTTTTTAAGTATTGCACTATAAGTTTAGACAAGACTCGAGAAAAACTTAGATCTCATTAAGTTTAGACAAATTTTCTAGTCACCAATGTTTTCATAAAATTTACGAGGACGAGCCATCTCAGTTTTTTTAGTGGTAGTATTTTTATATAGTTATAATTTATTAAGACTAACTTGAAAAAATTGTCGAATGTTTTGCCTTTGGATCTTCCGTCGAGATATTTCAGAAGAATCCAATATACATTTTTTCACAGCAGAAATATTCTAAGAGCTATCAATCGAAAATAACTATATAAATGCAATTAACGATTTTGAAATGGTTATCTTTTAAATGATAATCCAACAAAGAAAAGCAAGGCATTTAAATTTTAAATCAGAAATACCTACGATTACTCTTAATCTTACTGTCTGGGATATATAATGTTAATCGTGAAAAAGGCAAAAAAATACCAACAAACATCTCATGCCTTAAAAAATATGAAAGAAATAGAAAAAATATGAGAATATTAAACCAATGTTAGTAAAAATAACCCATTAACACACGTAGAAATGTTTATCAAATCATTCCATTAACGGTTAACAAAGTTAATGAGATGGTTATAGAGATTTAGGTGACAGATTAAAAGTATTGCAATATTAGAAGAGTTGTAATAATTCGGAAACCCTTTTAGCGAGTATTCACCAACTGTTAGAAAAAACGAGGCTCTCGATTCAAGATTCTCAAAGTATAATATTTCAGATGTACTTTCTCATTCTATAGAGTTTTTTGTGAATTGGTCACAAATTCTGATAAAATTATATTACCACTAATGTACGTACCAAAATCAAAAAAGAGAAAGATTATTTCAAATTTCTTTAAAACTATTAAAAGTTAAGTATCATTCATTTAACATAACTACCGTTATCTTCAAGAATCTAGTAAATAGGATATAACTTTTAATTCTATTTTTTTTCAATATCTCCAAAGGATGACTATGTTTTCGTCCTTCTATTAAACTTTCTCTTGAGATACTTTTTCTCTGAAAAGCTTTTTTGTTTAGAGCCAAATTAATATCAAACATGTAATTAGCAATCCAACTTCAAGGGTAACTTTCGTGTGACATCTCTTATATCTAATTTATTACGTTTATTAACTTGGAAGGTATTGTAAAGAAGAGTTACAGGTAACCTGAATTCAAAAACTTTGACTTGATGACTTATTAAGAGTTAATAATACCTAAATCAAAAATTTTAAAATCCTTAATTTTTTTAAACTTTAAATATAAAATTTAATACACAAAAATCGTCGCCATGACCAGTATTCGACCAAGCAACTTTCGGAAAATCGCGTTCCACTTGCCTGAGTTCCTTTTAAACGTATTTTCCAATCAAATTTGAAAATATAACATATCATACAAATATTGTAACTTATTGCCAATATTTATTTTACAAGTTACATTAAACGCGTTAAATTGTTTGTGTCTGCTATAGTTTCCAGGAACGATTCAGTTTCTGTCAATAAAATCGTGAGGAAATTCTTCTTGTAATTACAAAATACTTTTCGTCGTTTCTCCTAACAACTTAGATACTATAGAAATGTTAAATTGATATTTCATTTTTCAAACAAAAATCATTCTATACATATAAAAACATATGCAAAAAACAACTAAAAAATGGAATGTATTTTAAGAGATAGAACGAATTGTAGTACATAAGTCAAGTGTGTATTTAAGAATAAAAAGTTGCATTGCATTAAAATGAATAAAATGTATGACGCGTATTAGAATAGAGCCGTATAATCTATAAAAAGATGAAGCTTTTATCGATGATCCGATAATATTGAGATAATAGTTTTGGAGATATAAAAACTGACATAAAAATAGTTCGTCACTCGACGTATTCTGAGTGTGAGAGTGAGTAAGCGACTGACTCAACAACTGATCTATACGCATTATTTTTTAAAGAATTTGTTTACCAGATTGAAGTATCTTCATGATTTATTAAATATAATAATAACTAGCATTTCAAATTGTTTCACTTACCGTTGAATTGATCATCAATATATTTTTATATTATTATTTATATTTAGGTAATTAGATATACTTGTTTTTTACCTTCTCTGTCAGCTAATCGTCTTTCAACATTCTACAATACCACTACTTCAATCCCTACTAATATTGTAAATGCGAAAGTAACTCTGTCTGTCTGTCTGTTACGCTTTCACGCCTAAACCACTGAATTGATTTTAATGAAATTTGGTACAGAGATAGAGTTGACCTTGAGAAAGAACATAGAATAGGTTTTATCCAAGACTTTTGAAAAGTTCTCTTGGAAACGCGATATAACCAAACTTCACGCGAGCGAAGCTGCGGGCGGAAAGCTAATATTAAATATACCTTAAATATTTGCCTAAATTAATATCAATTCATTCATAAAACGTCTCAAAAATAACATGTAATGTGCTATCAAAGAGAGAGATATAATGAAATGTTTTTCATCCGTTAATAATATAGTATATAAACTATATGTTATATGTTATGTCCAGTCTGTGTCATATTAAACTATATGTCGTCGGTCGTACCGTCCTCAAGGTGTCAACAAACTCAACTGATATCATCAAAGAACGTGGTCCATAACATAAATCTAACAATAATAGTACATTCAATTTAAAAATAATTTATTAAATGATACGTCTCTTATATTCATAGTTTATTTTTATATAATTTTTATACTGAATTCACTAAATTTGTATAATGTTCGTATTTTTGTGAACTCTTACATTATAATCTTTTATTTAAGGCGTATATGATTATAGTAATTAATAATTTTGATCCTATAACATATAATACGTTGATCATTTAAAACATTTTTTTAATTTAAATTTGTATTTACCACCTTATATTAAATGAAAGAAAATTAATCATTCTTACGCGAATGAAACAGGACATAACGGTTTAGTTAGCAAAGACGACTAGAACGTAATATTACAAGTCATATTCATGTTTCGCTTATATATATGATTTTCAACTGTACCTAATTTGTTTTATTCGACATTTAAACAGTTTTATTTAATATACAAAACGTATATAATTTCAAACTAGAAGAATAATGTTCATATTTTGAAAACTAAAACAATATAATCGTCATACATATAAATAGTATATTCATTTAAAAACTACACTCATTTTCATTTATTATTCCTTAGGAAGGATTAAAAAAATATTGGAAAATTGTCAATGGATTGATTAATGATTAAAAGATGATTCGACATTGTGATCATCCAATAATATTGTCAAGATCTGACAATTTTTAAAGTTCTTTTTACTAAAAATGTTTTTCAGATGCACTGAGTACAGAAATATCCACTCAATATACTGTGTATTTTAGAAACTAGTTGTCACTAAATAGACGAAGATTTTGTTAATTAAACTTAAATTTAGACCACATTTTAGTAATACAAAAAATAGATTTTCAAATATTTATGTAAAATATATCCAAAAGAAGAGACATATCTACAATAGTATAATTTCCATTCTGTAGGAAAAAAGTAGAGAGATGTAAAGATTATGAAATCAATTCTTACTTTTTATTCAATCTCAAATAAGTATCTAAATATGAATTAAGTGTCTAAGTTTTCATTATTTTATTGACAAAATTATAACACTAATTGGATAGTAGATATTGAAAAATTACACAGTGAAACATTCCGAAGATTATTATCTTCATTACCATAGTATATATGTATATGTAAAGTGGATGAGTAAGTTGAATATAAAATATGAAAATAAAATCAAATATTTAACTTGAAGTATATCTTATTACAAGAGCTACGCAATGTCTACGAGATTTATTGACGAAGCATGAATTCGAAAGCCTGAAATCTTTGGTCTTTTTGAAAAGCTCTAAAATAACAGAGAAATACCACAAAAATTCTTTAAATAAAGTTCAACTAAGGGAACGTCTAAAAATAATACCTTGTTTAAATTTATGCTGTCACATTATTAAATAGATAGATACAAATATTAGATGAAATAACTAAATGATTGAGAACTTTAATTCATCTAATCTAATTCTCATAATTTTTGAATGAACAATATGTACGGTAGACCGTAGATGTTAAAATAATCTTTAAAAGAACAATATGTATGCTAAATCTTTGGTTAACAGTTAATAGGGTAACAAAATATTTTATTACTATTGCATATTCATAATCACCATGCTACAATATATTAGTATATTATAGGCTCGATCTATTTCATAGGAATATATATTAGAAGAGTTTCATTAAACAAGAGTCACAGGCCAGACAAACAGTATAATATATATAATTAATGTTAATTGACTGACCTGAGGCGTCCATGACGCTGCGACGCGGCTTGATGACCGGCTCCTCGTGCGCCAGAGCCGCTTACTGACGCTCTGCACCACGCTGCTCGAAGACCGAGACTTTTGCATGCCACCTGCATTAGGAGCCATTGATGCATTCCGACCCAACAGGGTTGACAGAAAAGAGTGCGACTGAGACGGCGATGGTGGAGAGGTCGGGGTTGATGCTACAGACGCGAACTGTAAGTCTCTATAAGTTAATATCCAAGCCTCATCCGTTTGACAGCCCTTGTGAGGCCCGTCGTCGTCAACGTCACCCGGCTGACGAGGTTTTATGTTGCGTAAGTTCTTATCATAGTTTATACGCTTGAAGCGATCAGTCTTTTCAGCGTCCACGCTCTTTTTGCGCGCCATCCTCAAGTACCGCTTGATGGTGTCGCTGACTGATTGCGAGACGTCGTCGTGGTCCACGCTGGAACGTCGCCGAGGTCTTCTCTCGGGAGGTGGACTCGTTGGACTCGTCGGGGCCGTAGCTGCTTCCAACTTCTCTCTATAATTTCGTTCCAGCTCCTGTAATACCTCCTCAGGTATGGGAAGTGTTTGTGTTCCAACGTCGACGAGTTTATCCTCCATCGATTCCCCGCAAACTTCGATAAGAGGCGGAGGAGACATTGGTGGTGATGAACAGTTCTCATCGTTAAACTTTGAACCACCAAAATTTCGGCCAAAAAACACGCTACGTGAACTAGATGCACTAAACCCACTACTAGGCCCGAGCGAACTCGGACCACCGCCACTCCTGCCACCACGATAAGGCTTCGGTTTACGAAGGTCATGGTACAGGTTTTTCAACAAATTTTTATCGTTCAATAAATCTTGCACTGTATTGTCTCTATTGGAAGAACGGTGGTAGTACCTACCTAGGTTTTCACGAAGAATTCTTCGCGTGGGATCCGTATCGGAATCTGTAGGCTCACGTTCCGACAGACGCTTGAGGTAGTCACGCAGAGCTCGGATAAGTTCCTCAGACTCTGACACACGAGGTGGATCCCTAGCATCTTCAACTTTCAGGTACTTACGTAGTAAATCTACTAAAACTCCCTCATCATCCTCGGAAATAGACGGATGCGGGCATCCATTCTTAATAGCACTATTATTAGTATTAAAAGTACCACCGACTGAAGGAAATCCAGCGGAGGACGGAGAAGGGGGAGGCGCTGCGAAAAAATCTCGCCGTAGCTTAGCGATATCAAAGCGGCCACCCGAAGTGTGAGGAATATAGAGATCGGTGGGCCTCGTGGGTGGAGGCGGGGCGTCATCGGACGGCGAGCGAGCCCTCACGGAGCCACCGCGCGCTCTCTTCTTACGTCGGGGCTTCGGCAGCACTCCCGGGTAGGAGCTCTTCCTCCAGAGCAGAAACCGCGGCTCCCTCTGACACACCTCCTGGAAGTAGGCCTCGATCCTCGGCACGTCGTCCGCGCGGTTCTGTGCGCCGTCCGGGATGAGCCGGCGGCCGGCGTCGGACATGTACTTCCAGGTCTTGCGAGTGAGGAGCCATCTCTCTCGCGGGCGGTCGCGGCGCCGCACGCTCTTGGTCATGGGGTCGGCGAGGTCGAGGCGCGCGGGCCGGCGGCGCTCCATGACTCGTCAGGGGGGACGAGCGCGCCGCATCGCTCGGCCTCGGACGCACCTGCCCACCTCCAACTGATCGCTCCTCCGCACCGTTCCGTATATTATGCGCCGAAATAGACGTCCGGTAATAGAGCGGCCGTGAACTGAATACAGGGTGCGCGAGCGGCGGCGTTCGGCTCGGCGCGGCGCGGACTGCCGCTGCGTAAACAAATAAGCGCCCACGACGACCAGCTGCGCCTGCGCGGACCGCGCTCCGCTGTGTGCGTCCCTTACAGGTTCATACTCTTATTAAAACTAAATACCGTACCCACACGTTGAAATAGATGTCGACTTAGACTTAACTAAACCATATCATTAAGAGGAAAAAATATCTTCAGGTACACAAATAACATTTTATTCTTAAGAAGTTGGTACATATACCACATAGTAATTTAGTATATTTTATAAGTTTATGACTGTGTCCTGATTGTTCGTAGACATTCGTAGACGTCCGTAGACGTGGTTGTCTCAGGTAAAGGCGAATTAACACCTTATTATTCTACTTGAATTACAACTAGATAAGACTAGAACATATTGAAACTAAGAGACAATCTCTAGTTGTAATGGACATGGTATTACTACTCTTAAAAAAAATTATAACTTGCACTAGGAGTAAAATAGAAAAGAATTATTGCAATATACAAATTTAAATTAAAATATATTGAAATTATCATACAAAACAGTCAATTATTAACTTCATAAATATATTTTATTTCTTGATTACATATTTTTCTAATTGTCGATTAGAGGAGAGATCTGAAGATTTGGTTATTATAAAATGTTGAAATCATAACAAAATATACAATAACTTCTGTTTTTAAGCATACATAATATACATATATACATATATATGTACTTGTACGTATTTATTGATATGTAGATTTTCGTAGTTTATAGCAGATAGCATATAGCATAAAATATTATTGTTAAATTAAATGTATATATGTTTTGATATATGTAAAAAAAGTCATTTAAAACGAGGTTCATAATAAAAGATCGCTATTTATCAATAAGTCCACTTTGTATAACTTGTCTTTAAAATCAAATTTTGGTACTAATTTAAATGAAACTAAGGTTTTCTAATACAACATATTATTATTTTCTATCTACATGATAACGACGTTTCGGTTCCTTTACAATTTACAGCAACCGTGATCACGAGCAGACTAGATGAAAGTGACTTTTACTAATAATTTTTTTAATAATAATATTACTATACTCGATTTCCTTGTCTTTTTGAATCGGTATTTTCTTGTTCTAATATACTTTAGTAAGTTTTTTATCTATTAGTAATGTTTTAAACTTCTTATTAAAACCGAGACTTTATTCAAAATAATCACACTACGTAAACGTATTGAAAACACTTCAAGGTGTACCTATGTTGTTGTTACTTTTTCTTACTATTTTTGATACCGTCTGCTATAAGTATTGCTATCCCTACTAATATTATAAATGCGAAAGTAACTCTCTGTCTGTCTGTCTGTCTGTCTGTCTGTCTGCTACGCTTTCACGCCTAAACCACTGAACTGATTTTAATGAAATTCGGTACAGAGATAGAGTTGACCTTGAGAAAGAACATAGGATAGTTTTTATCCCAGACTTTTGAAAGGTTCTCTTGGAAACGCGATATAACCGAACTCCACGCGGCGAAGCTGCGGGCGGAAAGCTAGTTTTGATATAAAAGCCAAACGTATGTTTTAAGATTTTAGTTTATAGATATAAATTAAATTATATTTGAATAAAACAACCATATGTTTCAAGTATATGTATAGTAAGTAACAGAATACGGTGATTTTTTAGTATTTTTTATATAAAAATTGCTTCAGACTGGAGTATTTTTTCTTATTTTAATTATACCGTTTGCGTGTTTAAATTATAGCACCGCGCTTCTCATGCTACCATATTTGTTCTGCGCAATCTTTATCAGTATCGAATTACTTATATATTTAAAGTTACTCTATATTAATTACGTAAAATAACGAAAAAAATATTAATACGAAATATTCTTAAATATATTACAACACTTATAAAACTATCATCTTATTATTATTATCATGATAATTTATTACGAACACTTAGTTTCTGTATAAATAAAAACTTATTATCTTTAAAATATTATAACTATCTACACTGACAGACTGAAATACGATAAATATGTAGAAGGAAAACCATTGTTTTCGTTAAAAAAATTCACAAAAACAAAAACTAAATTTTATAGTAACGAATTTTACGACCTGGAAAAATTCGTATATTGCATCTTGCACGGGTGTCAAACATTAATATCCTAGGCCACTTATAAAATGCTCGGATACAAAAATAAACTTACACTTTGTTTCGCTGAAATTTAAATCAGCGCCATCTGTTGTCAGTGGGGTAAACGAGGAAAATTCAAAGCTCGCCAGTTGCGTTTTCCAATTCCACGTCACGGTTTGAGTATGAGTTGATTTTAATGTCTCCCGCTTTACATAGATGGCGTTACCTTTTCGGATAGATTTCTTAGGTGATATGTAAGAATTATTTGGCGACTGTTAGCAGTGTTAAACCAATTTATTGGACGAGTTAAAATCTTATTTTGTTGTTAATTTAAACAGAAAAATTTGAAATAATGTAATGTTATATATATGTATATATACCTATATATCTATTATGACTTATTATATATCAACACACTGTTGTAAAGATAACTATTTAGACTAATTGGGGCGTCAAATAGAACCTTCGCATAAGGGCATCCGACATACATTCCACTATTGACGTCATTGCTCAAGTGCCAGCAACGCTCTATAAAGATATAAATATTAGCAATGCAAATTATCGATAACAATTGGAGTCCCATCACTAGCATTGTAACAACACAATACATTACATACTGTCAATTTTTATGAATCATGCGGTTCTGTTTTGTGTCATATATTGAACGATCGAAAACGTCATCACTAATGACGAATAATAAGTTGTATATTTAATTATTATAACTATTTGGTAATAATATTACATAGTAATTTAAAAAATCAATCCAAGGCACTTTGGCAATAAGCTTAAATACCTGAAGCGATTAAGTATAAGGTTTTTTTTATTCCGATATCATATACGCGTTTTTCGTAGTAAGAGTCAGTCGAAGCCTCTCAAAACTTCGGTCATCATAAATCTGCCCTTAGATGTTTTCACAATCATCATCATCATCAGCCTATCAGAGCTCATTGCTGAGCAAAGGCCTCTCCTCACATGAAGAAGATTTGAGCATTAATCACCACGTTTGGTCAAGGCGGGTTGGTGATTTCAAACTTGTAATTTGAAATTATAAGTCCAGGACATTTTCCTTCACCGTCTGTCAGTGATGTCTAAATACTCTTAGAAAGTGCATATGACTCGAAAAATTACATTGGTACTTGTTAGATCGAACCCGCACCATCATACATGACAGGCGAGCCTTTAACCTTTAGGCCAGCACGATTTTTTTATTGGCTTAAGGCAATATCAAGTATAGAAATATGTATAATTAAGATCTCGATAATCAATCAATCTTTTGTAATTTCCACAAGTTTACTATTATATTAATTAATGTTCAGATGACGAATCAATAAAGCCACTTTTCCAATCATCTGATATCAAATCTCCTACTCCCGTGAGTCATGACAGAATCATAGTTTTTCTATATCTCAGTGACATATTAAAGTACCTCAAACATATCGGATAACAGATTTTTCTGGCCTGGAATCATATTATATATATTTAGATCTTAGTCATAAACACTAAAGTTCAAACATCATTTCGTAACAATTTTTTTGTGAACGAAATAAAAATGTTATAATAAATTATTACAATTTATAAAACTCTATATTAATTGTAAGAACATGTGTCTGTGTGTCATATTTTTTTTTTCAATGTTTAGGAAGTGTGAGTCTTTGAATTATAACTGCGACTGAAAAACGGACACTACGAATTAGTCACGGGAATTTAGTTTGCTTTTATTTCTATGTATTTAAATAATTACATAACAATGCTTTTGCTTTAAATCTTTTATTGAGTATATATGCAAAAACTGCTAAATACAAATTAATGATTTATTTAAACCTACTTAGTGATTTTATCATTAAATTTAGGGAGAATAACTTTAAGCAATGCTTGAAAGGAAAGAAAGAAATAAACTTACACAAACGCTATCAATTAATGTTCTAATTTGAAAGTAGCTTTGTTTAACTTGTTATAAATTTGGTAACAGATAAAACTTTAACCTACTTATTAATTGAAAATTATTTTATCTTTATTTTTTTATCCTACACTCACGTTTACCGCAAAACCGCGAAATCCGAACCGGAAATGTTTTCATTCTGATTTAAATCATAAATAATGAATACATTTATAAAAACAAACTGACAAGATGTATGGCCGCGGGTTCAATACACTAAGGGGACACGAATACTTTGGTATAATAAATCTTTCACATAATTCCATCGCGAGGAATCAAATTACCTTTGATTTCTTTGGAGACAAGTATTATAAGGTTTTACTATATATAACATTGCTTCATTAATATGACTATTTGTATGTTTAACTCTGGACAAATAATACTGAAATTTCCCTATATAGGCTTAAACAATATTGAATATTTATTAGGTAGAGCCTAGCTGTGGTCAAGTTACTACAGCTCGAACATGTGCTGACTCGACTGAGGAAGTACCACCCTCTCACAGAAGATCGGCGTGAAGTAATCTTTAATGGCTGCGTTTTGTCCATTAAGTACGTGAGACGATTGCCCTTTTCCTACTCCTTCCCTTTTCCCTCCCTTTCCCACTTTTTCCTCCTCATCTTTCCAAATCAAGGGTAGCAACATATACGCAACATTTCTTATGTTTCAGATGTCTATGGGCGATGGTACTACCTCCTTTAGGTATGGCGTCTGTTCAATTGCATCCTATATTATAAAAAAAGAATATAATTGTTTATATTTTAGTATACAAATTAAAGTTAAATAAAACCTTCCCTCGCCAAACTCACGCGTCCATTACTTCTCTCTACTACATAACTAATACACTCGATTAGTTTGTAGCACTCTGTTTACTTCATACAGCCGACATCAAAGAAATAACTACTTTGAATAAACAAACATTAAAATAAGTCAAAGGAAATCGATAAAAATCAATCGATTGTAAATAATAGGGAGATTATTAAAAGCTCTGCGGTTCGTAGTATTACTGATAATCTTATTTTTTTTGCTTAAAGTTCATCTGTATAGTATGTGTAGCATAGGTTATATTAATTTTCAAAAATTGCGTTTTTTTCGCTAACGTACTACTTTTTGTATTACACATACAATCATTGAAAACGTACTAAAATCCCAAATTAACATAACGTATTTTTTTTAGTACAGTCAAATACAGTATATACTGTTTAGTGGTCAGTGGTGGCCTAATGGTTACAGGGCCCGCCTCTCGTTGCCGAGGGCGCGGGTTCGATCCTGGCCCGGGCAAGTACCAATGTGATTTTTCCGAGTCGTATGTTTTTCTAAGAATATTTAGACATCACTGATTAATGCATTCCCAAAAGAGGGTTGATGTCAGGCAGGCAGCCGGTCGTAAAAAAAAATTACCCAAAACTATTCACAACATGTAAGGCAGACCCTGGCGTAGCCGGGAAATTGCCAGGTAGAAGACAGAATATACTGTTTACATATATGTTATAATTTCGTCTGTTGTACATATATATGTAAACGCCTATCAGCTAAAATATATCCAATCCTAGATGAAAATCAATCACGAGGATACCGTAACGTATCAGGTCAGAAAATTCACATCTCATTACAACAATTAATGTCTATCAATATCAGTTTAACCACGCATTGTATTTGACATAAATGAAGCTTCCGCCATATTGTATTGTATTTATTTTATTTAATGTTTTGAGAATTTCAGCTGTCACTTGTATACAGTCTACAAATATTAAAGATGACATTTTAAATAAAATCCTCAAATATTATAGTCACTAATTATAAATAACTGATAAATTGAATGAATAAAAATCCAAATGCAATAGGCATTAGTTCTGTCTACCTAGTTTTATTTTTAATAAAAATAAATTAATCATACGATATTGTTAAATAAATTCGTTCAGAAACTTAAAAAAAACAAACATAAGGTTTTATATTCGTGTCATTATCGTTCTTATATCATTACTATACTATATTTCATCCAATTATTATAATTAATATGTAATCCTAACAGTAATTTATATTGACAGTCAAATTAAATGAGTATTTTTGTATATTCGCCAATTCTACGCCCACAAACTTAAACGTCACTACACTTCGTGTTGGTAGTAACTGACGCAGCTTTATGACATGTATTATTAATAATTAATAATAGATTAATTAATAATATATTATAAAATAATATTATGATGACTCAGTCATTGTACAATGTTCTAAAACTTATTAAAAGTAACTTAAAATTTAAACTTATACATGGTGAAGATCCGTTAAACTCCGTAAGAAATTTAATTCCATAATGAAAATCTTCCAATTTTCTTGATTTAATTTTCCTGTTGATATACTTCATTCACTTCCTTAATCTAAATTTCTTAACCTACATTTAATATCAATATTTATTTTGTTATTTATATAAAAAGCCGTCTCAGTCGCCTCTTTACTTCTAGGTCACTAACACGACATTGAACTTCGGAAAAAATAACCAAATAACTGAAATAGACAACATTATATGCAGAACAATCTTTCATCTTTATCGTTAAACAAGGAACATTTCATTACACTACATTGCATTTTGATATATCATATAAATGACATTGCTTTATAAAAGAATGTTGCCAACTAAAAATATTACGTAATACAAATAATTTTATTTTACTCACATGTGTTGCTATAATTCACATTATTCTCCACCTGTATTCCCATGATTATTAGCATGAAAAGCCTTTGGAAGTCATCACAGCACTTTAAACGCTACACGCGTACACATACACTTTATTCACATATCTAATCCAAAATCACTATATCATAAACTATGATATATAATTCGTTAACCTTACTAATTGATAATTAATCCAAATCAGTTTTTTTATTGGCATCACTTGTCATAGTTCGTCATTATTTGGCGCGCGAGTCTCAGGCACGTGCGAAGTCCCGCCTCGCTTACAAATCACTGCGTCCATCTGAAACGAAAACAGTTTCGAAGGTGATTATGAACGCGGAAACACAAAAATTAAATTTTTGACATTCTTTTCATCATGAATTTTCAATGTCCGTCATCATTTTAAGATTAACTTCCGAGCCATTTGGACTCTCTAAAGTCAGAATTGTAGCTCTGTGGTAATAATTTATAATAGATTATTCTTAAAACAGCTGTAAAAAATAATTTCACGATAGTGCCATGAAACGGCTCAATAAATTTGACACATTTAGCGAATGGTTTCATTATATCTGTGTTTCTGGTGATTTTTTGTTACAATTTTACATGTTGGCAACTTTACTTAATTCTATTAAATTAGGCATATTATTATATAACTTTGCGTTCTTAAAAAAACTATACGAAAGTATAAATACATACATTGATGGATCAGTATTATTATATGATCGAGAAAATTTTGCCCAACAATATATTTTTTTATTTTATTATAACACAGGTACACTTATTTATATATAGTTTTTTAACTGCATTTTATTAATAAAATTTATAATATTATAATTTTTTACAACTCAACAAAGTATCATTCTAATTGTTCTTCAGAGAACAACAATTTCAAAGCAAAAATAACTGCCTCTTAAGTACCTTTAAAACATAAAACACATTTAATTGCATTACCTATTAATTTTTAAAATGATAATTATTTTAAAATTTAATTAATGAATTATGAGATTAATTCATAAATGCGTTTCAATTGACGACAAAATTATGATTTATGTATATAACAAAATAACAGATCGCATAAATAATGTAGGGTGCGTGTTACGTCAACGACGGTCAGTCAGTGGGCGGACGGGTCATTATTAATATATTATATATATCATAAATGATAATAAATACTATGATTGGATACTTTATACTATGTATATTATATAATTATTACAACTATACTATTATACAGCTATAAGACAGGCATTCAAATCGAAATAGTCGCTACACAACTAAAATCAAATTATCTTTTATAATTTCTCCCGTTTCTTACACATTTACCGCTATATCTTTGCTCCTATTGGTCGTAGCGTGATGTTATATAGCCTACAGCCTTCCTCGATAACTGGACTATCCAACACAAAAAGAATTATTCAATTCGAACCAGTAGTTTCGGAGATTAGCGCTTTCAAACAAACAAACAAACTCTTCAGCTTTATAATATTAGTATAGATTCCCCAAAGAAATTTCAATATAACAAACAGTTATACCAACCTTGTGATGTTTAATTTACTGTACGACATTGTTGGTGTTTACTTTGATATAAATATAATAATTTATATACATATAATAATAATAATATCTAAGAGGACAGGGTAACGACTGTTGTCCGTATATTTAGAGGAGGCAATGACATTGCTGTACGCGCGCATGAGCCAGCCTTGTTTTGTTTTATAACATTCATCAACACGATCTTAATATGTTATTGGTGTTGAGGTGATAATTATTTATATATAAAATAATGTCTCTTATAATTCGTGGAGATAAATAAAAATATTTGTCTGTCCGTGATCACGGTTGCTGTAAAGTAACCGAAACGTCGCGATTACGTAGATTTTGATAAAAGTAAAAATATTTGTCATTTAAATGAATACTCGCGAAAATCTTAGATCTCATTAAATTAAAAATTTACGTCAGATACCTTTAAATTCAATCGTAAAAATATGATTGGTCAATTATAAACTATACATTGCTTTTTTCGAAGATGTAAGCGTATTAAAAGTAGTGTCTGATAATTAATATTTGCTATATGAAAGATGTTTCTCAGTCATGATGACGGTGGAACTAAAAATATGGTAAAATCATCTGGCCAGTTAATATTATAAGTCATATTTTTCAGTTAATCTTAAACATATCGCGTGTTGATGGATAGATGTGAACAGTCGTGGTGTTCAAACATTCTTCTCAGTTAAAATTGATTTATGTAATCAGTGGGTTTGGTAAATTTATTGTTAATTAATAAGTTTTTATTCTAAGGGGCTGTCCATTAATCACGTGAGGCTTATAAGGGGGGGAGGGGTTTGATAAAAATCACGAAAATATCACAAGGGGGAGGGGGCGTGTAGTAAGATATCACGTGTATTTATTTTTTCGTCTAACGCGCGATTTTTAAACAAATATTAATTTATTATGGTCCTTTATTTCAGAATAAAATAAGATTATAGTTTATACCTGTATTTAAATTAAGATAATATTCAGAAAATTTTAAGATTCGTTGTAGGTACTAAAAATACACGTGATGTTGAGAAGGGGGAGGGGGGGTGGTCTTAAACCTCACTACGTATCACCAATGGGGGCGGGGGGGTTAAAAAATGCTAAAAAAAGATCACGTGATTAATGGACAACCCCTAAGGTAACTTCACTGGGTAAATTTGATGACATATATTAGAGCACCTTTAGGGGTTGGAGTGTAAATATCTTTTTAAATTGAATATATTATAATATTTATATATACGGTATATATTTTCTTCAAATACTTATTGTATGTCTGTATTTCTTGTTTTAATAAAACCATAGTAAATAGTATAGTAGAATCAAAACAGGACCGTCCTACAACTAACCAGCAAGATCGCTACTGCCAGGGAATTTTGGCAGAGACAGATTTGGGATAAAAATAATATAATACTCATCGGGCGTATGATACTCGCAAAAAAAATATATATCTCCTGTCACATTTTATCATATTGTACCATTAGGGTGCTCTGGTGAATTGGATATATTTATATATGACGTCATCGCTAACCTCCGACCAAGAGAAACCAAACAGTCATACACACACACACACACACACACACACACACACACACACACATGTATATATATACAAAAGACAATATGTATGTGTCTACTAACAAGACTATGTGACATTGTTTTAAATTATAGTTAACTGTGTACAACAATGTATAAAGAATTAGAAATCGATTGAAATATTTATAATGAAGTAATTACATAAAAATATTAAGTATATTAACACATAAATTGGGCTTAAATATTCTGTTAAGTTAAGATTTATTATCATGCTCTTGTCCCTAATAAAGATTTTCCCAACTCTACGCTACCTCACTCTAATCTTTTCATAAGGGAAGTCACCTTAAAAGAACACAATATGTACGATGTGAGGTGAGTATTCTATTTAGAACACTAACTATTATTATTACAAGTACATTATCTCATATTTAATTGCTTTTGCTTCTGTGATAATTATGTGCACCCATTAAAACAGCTTTTATATGAATACATATGAGAAATAAAAATATAGTATAGTGGTATAATATTTCAATTACAATGAAATGAGATGCTAGTTCAAGGTGGCTTTTAGTCAGAAACCGAATATATATATGAAGTGCAATAAATTGGGACACTGAAAAATACCTATACCTAAACATAATCGTAATGACTACAATCAATAAACAGGTATACGTTAACACTTTAAGCTTCTATATATTAGTAACAGTTATTAAGTTCAAAATTATACAGAAAATATATAATGAAGTCCTATTGATTACAGAAGAGACTTTGTTCTGTAGTTGTAAAATTCTCGTGTCGCGGTGTTACATAGAGAACTCCTGCGAAACAGCTGGACCGATTTTGTTGAAATTTTATGAGCATATTGAGTAGGTGAAAATCTGCCAACATCTATTTTTCATACCCCTAAGTGATAAGGGTTGTTCACTCTTACTTTTTTTATTATTTACGGACGAAATATTTTGTTTTTATTTTTTATAACGTTAGCATTAAAAAACACATACAACCCAATTTTATTACTTTTTTTATCACCGACCCCTATTTTTATATGTCAAAACTACATTTGCAAGGTCAACTGGTATTTTTTGTATATAAATGCAATTGAAACACATAATATCAAGCCATGAATACATTAAAACGCTCGCGTTATTTCCGATTAAGAATAGACATAAACACGAACTGACCGGCCGCGTCTGTTTTAAATTAATGTTTATTTTAGACGATCTCCAGACGATAGAGTGTGTCGTGTGCTGCATCTAATACGTGCCTCGAAAACTGACAATGTATATAAAAAATACATATATAACAACACGTAATAATCCCTACTAGTATTATAAATGCGAAAGTAACTCTGTCTGTTACGCATACACGCCTAAACCACTGAACTGATTTTAATTAAATTTGGTACAGACATAGAGTTGACCTTGAGAAAGAACATAGGATAGTTTTTATCCCTTTTGAAAGGTCAGACTTTTGAAAGGTTCTCTTGGAAACGCGATATAACCGAACTCCACGCGGGCGAAGCTGCGGTCGGAAAGATAGTATACATATATAAATATTTTTTTTGTTTAAATAAGACCAATTATTTTGTTTATTTTTATATTTTTTTATATGTTGCAGACTGCTTTTAAATATATACCTGTTGTTCGTTCATTGATTGCAATGACTTCTTTTTAAGTATTCCATCATAATACTACTAAAAATGTACATATTAGAAAAAAATAAATTAATCCCGAACAATTGTTATTTATATAAATAAAGACACGGTTTTCCATATATCTTTTATCTGTAATACAATTGAAACAATGCCAGAAGAAAATTAGAACGCTTACATTTTTCCAGCGATAAAGGAAACGTGAAGATTTATATAATACACAGCCCCGGTTAATTTAAATATATTTTACATTGATAACTTATTTATGAAGTTGAATGAAAAATATTTCATACATATTTCATACATTTAAGAGTAATTTTTGAA